CCTCCCAGAAAAAAGTTTTGATGGTGGTGAATGGTTGCATTTCGCAGTTTGAGTATGAAGGAGACTACCTACATGGCTGGGTATTTAAATTTATGAAAGATCGCCCCCACTTTACTATAAGGGGAAACAAGAATTGGGTCGATTGGTTGATAAACCAGCGACTTTTCCTTATAACGAAAATTTCCGAGTGGTTGCTATATAGTAACTATATAGTTACACCCTCGCTATGGAGTAATTTATAGTGTTAGCCCGTGTCCGCGCTTATGGGACCGTCATATACGTCCGTGAACAAGATAGACTTGCAATTTTACCATATGCATATTGGACAAAGTTAAGAAACAAGTTCGAAGGTGGACGAAATCGGTCAAATGGTTGACCCGTTGGGGTCATCTAAGTGGGTGGGGTATTATGCACCAAAATTTCAAAATTGTCTTAGAAAGCTGAAATTTGGCATACAGATTGTTAGTGGCTCCTAATGGAAGAATATGAAATCAGATTGGAAAAATTTTCATCTGGAGAGACCCTATGGGATCACCCATGCTGATTTTTCAAAATCATCAAATAGAGTTGTAATTCGGTACATCAATTCCCAGTCGCACCCAATGGAAGAATATGAACTGGAATTTGGAAAATTTTTATCTGGAGGGTCCCTTTGAAGTCACCCACACGTTTTAGAAATTGTCACCAATGGTCTTATATATATTTATAAAGTTATAGCTTTACACATAAGCCGAAGGACAAATTTAGGAGTGGTTAGGAATATCAAAACTTGACATCTTTCAACTGACACTTTTAAAACGTATGTAAATTTGAACGGATTAAATTGGCTACGATATCCGCAAGACTAATGGTGTAAATGTTGCTTAATAGCGTGCAATAGTGGTTATATTCTATATTCCCCTTTAAAATTCAAACCTAAAAAAGAATTAAATAAAATATAGCTTGAAAAAGTAAAAAGTTCTAAGGTGAAGAAGTGCACTTAAAAGTACTAAACAAGCTCCCTCCGCTACCCAGACAATTTTACTTCGCCTGGGCGTCTATTCCATGCAAAATATCGACAATAATATTTCGGCGTCACGTAAGAAAATAAAGATCAGATTTAATTTTTTGGTCCAAAGTTAATTTTTGAATTGGTTATTACCCAGCCAGAACAACATTGCTGGGTGGTAAGGGTATTAGAAATTATGATCATTTGGTGGTGATTATTACATATGGCTCAACCGTCCCCAAATATTTATTACTAGTAATTATTTGTATAACTAACTCGACATCGTTGTACTGATAAACCGATATATTTTAAGCCTATAGTATATTATACAAGACAACCATTGCTTTTAGATTTTTTGGGTGACTCTTTGAGCGACTTATTTACAACCTACATATTTTAACCATTTAATCTGTGAAAGTGGCATATGTCGCTTTGGCGACTTGTCCATAATTCGTGACAAAGGCATATGTCATCGTCAAAATCCGCTCCATAACCCGTGACGACGACATATGTTGCCACAGAAAACCTTACCTTAATTCGTGACGTAGACGTTTGTCGTTCCCTGGCAAATTCGCCACACTGTAAGAATAAATAACCCCACACGGAGTAAAATTCTATCCATGCCAGAGTTAATAGTGTTTGCACTCTCTATGGTGTACGTGGGAGCTTAAATGCAAAAGAGTTACGCGTTTTACTCCGTGAAAATACAGCGTTACTCTCAGCGGAGTAACGCTTCCAGCCAGGGCACTGCGCATTGGTAACCCTCATAGGAGTACTGCTTACTCGGTACCGGGCTATTTCTGTGAGAGCGGTATATGCAAATAACTTGAAATCTACTTAATTTTGCTTACATAATTTCAATTTAAAATTTTATTAATTATTTATCAATTTTAAAATTTCATCCCTCGTCTCTCCCCCTTCGATGGCTCTAGTAATTCGTCATCTGTAATATGGTGATCTGAAAATAAGACGGAAAATTCAAATCAAATTTATAAGAATAAAATTTATTGTACAATTTGCAAGAATTATTTAAATATCTATTTACCCTCAATTTTTTACGATTCTTGTAATCCAAATTGCTGTAGAAGTCCTTGCACTTCTTGTGTTGCCATTTTCGAGTGGGGGTGGTTAAAATTAAATGGGGGTCAGAAAATAAATAAATTTCCATTGCCAAAATGACACTCGCAGCGTATGCGGAAGGCGGTTGAGTGTGGAATGAGGTGCTTTGTGGTTTACCAGCCGACCTCGCGCCCAACTCAGATAACTCTGCCATGGGTAAGATATGCATTGGCAACTCTTGCTCGAGTAAACGCAAGTAATGTTGGCTAAACAGAGTAAAGTTTGGGCAAACCCGGTGAAGGGTTGGCCACTTTACCCTGTGTAGACTTATCAATACCCCGTACAGTGTATGTAGGCAAGCAACTCAGCGCTAAGTTAGATACATTTCTAAGAGTGCATAATTCGTGACGTCGACATTTGTTTTTAGCCCGAACCAGGGCTTATGTAATTGTCATGTCCGTCCGTCCGTCCGTCCCTCTGTCCTTCTGTTCGTCTGTCTTTCGACAACTCTGGAACGAGTTGGCCGATTGACTTGAAATTTTTACCAGATGCATATTGGACAAAGTTAGGAACCGAGTTCGAAGATGGGCAAAATCGGTCCACTGGTTGACCCGTAGGGGTCATCTGGGTGGTTGGGAATTATGCACCAAAATTTCGAAATTGTCGTAGAAAGCTCAAATTTGGTGCAGAGGAGTAAATGGGTCCTAAAGGAAGGATATGAACTCAAATTCGAAAAATTTATCTTGAGGGACCCTATGGGGTGACCCCTACCGATTTTTCAAAGTCGTCATATCTAACTTAAATTTGGTGGATAGGTTGCTTATGGGGCCTAAAGGAAGAATATGAAATGAAATTGGTAGAATTTTCATCTGGAAGGGTGGGTGACCCACTAACCCATACTGATTTTTCAAAATCGTCATATCGTTCTGAAATTTGGCATTTAGTTTTCTTATCGCTCTTCATGGAAGAATATACATTGGAATCTGGAAAATTTTCATCTGGAAGGACCCTATGGGGTGACCCCCACCAATTTTCAGGGATTAACATGGAAAGCTGAAATTAGGACCAGAGATCTTTACTGCCTTCTCATGAAATAATAGGAAGTTAAATATGAACACAAATTTGCAGAGGGACACTAGGGGGTGGTCCACACCGATTTCTTAAAATTGATATAATCAGCCGAAATAATTTAGTATGCAGTCGAGAAATAACTTAGGATTAACATTTACCCTATAGGGTACCTCAAGATAAAAATCTATTTAATTCTACGTTATATTCTTCCATTGCTAGTCATTATAAACTTTCACGCAAATTTTTAATTTTCGTTACCCTTGACCCCCAACACCCATATGACCCCTACCGGCCAACCACTTGACCGATCGAACCAGTCTTCGAACTCGAGTTGTGTATTTGGATGGTCTATATGTGTGGAAAATATCAAGTCGATCGGATAATTTTAAAAAGAGTTATCATTGTACAGATGGACAACACGGGTACATAAGCCTTGGGTCGGGCTAAAAATTAAAATTTTTTATGAAAATGTTGTCACGGAGTAACATATTTGACTGGCATTTTTGGTTACGAATAATGATCCCTTAGAAATAAAGCTCCCTCACGAATTAAGGTAACTCTACTGTCGCCTGGTGACACGAGTTATGGACATCTTGACTTTTACTTGTCCTCTTTAAATGGTTAATTTACAGCAGATATTTTGCATGCAGTAGACAGCCCAGGCGAAGTAAAATTATCTGGGTAGCGGAGGGAGCTTGTTTAGTACTTTTAAGTGCACTTCCTCACCTTAGAACTTTTTACTTTTTCAAGCTATATTTTATATGCATTATTATTCACCATGCGTGCAAAAATAATTTCCTGTACACAAACAGAAACACTTGTTTTCATTATATTATGTGCTATTCAAGAAAATTAACTTATGTATGTAGGTATATATACATAGATTTTAACAGTCGTAAATTTAATTCGTACTGCTACATACATTTCAATTAATCATTAATTCTTTCACATCCTTAATTTCTACGAAGACAATGTAATCTTTTAATTCAACATATCTATCAATAATAGTTGAAAACTGGCTGTTAGTAGATGTGCAAATATTTGGAATTTCATTTCCCATTAACATCACCACCCCCTCGATGAACGTGATTCACCGTGACCGGGCAACTCGGTGTCACAGCCATGGTTGCGAGTGCAAAGCCAATTCCAGCCACCACACCGACCGGACCGGCCACGGCGGCCAATCCAGTTGTCCCCGCATATGCTCCAAATACACCGCCCGCATTTATCAGACCGTTCGCAATCGCCCATTTGGCAAGCGTCGCTGTCACCGTTGCTCCTGCAGAGCCCCCTCCAAAACCATACACACTAACGGTAACGATGATGCAGCGGTAACGGTTTTGGCGACAGCAACCCCACCCACCGTACCCACGGTAATCGCTTCAATTCTCTTCTTTGCGCCACACCAGGTCCATGACTCTTCTTCAGGAAATGCAGATCCGATGAGCAGTATCAGGACAAAGATGATCTTTATAAATAAGTGAAAAAGATAGAGAAATCTATTTTTATAAGGTAACATTGTGGTATATGTAAAATTATTACGGCCTCAGATCACTGCAATTTTGTTAATTGTTTTACCTGCACATGGAGATATTTCATTTTGAATCCCAATTGACGTCTTCGGTACACTCTAAGAAATTTTACCACCATTCTATCACCGAGCGGTGACTATATGTGACTCTACCGCAATGGTGGTTACCTACCACCACGCGGTGATAGAAAGTGCCATCACCATCGTGGTGGTAGACGTCTACCGGATGGTGGTACAAAGATCTGCATTTTTTGTCACCGCGCGGTGATATGCTACCACCATATTATGCTCTCCTTGTCACTGTCTGGTAATGAGTAATTTAAAATAATTTCGCTACTTATTACAACAATGTCACATTTTTCATAATTTATTAGTTTATTCAAGTATTTAAACAGATAATTAATACTTATGTATAAATATATATGTATGTAAAACCTCTCACCATTGTGGCACCAGCAATTAAAGTTGCGAAATTTCCAGTAACGACATGTAGGACACTGATGGAAATTAATTAAAGTTTGAAATTAATCAACACTGATTTAGATTGTTAAAAAAATCAGCGTTTATTGTTTTACCTTTCAGTTGGAAGAGCTTTGTCCCAATTTTTGCATTTGCAAGTACATATGCTGTTGTACTATCGACGATATTTTTGAAGTACAACCGGTGACCTCGGATCGATTACAGTTGGCGGACCAATTAAAAAAAATATACATTAATTAATGATGTACATACATGTGTATTTACAGCTGCAAAAAAGCAACTAAATTTTATGGAAACATTACTTCGTTAATTTTTGTCCCGTCATCGTCATCCAGGCGAATCGAGGTCTCCACGTCCGAATTTTTCTCCAACTAGTAACAAAACAAAATTAACTAAAATTAGCTAAATTTTAACTTAAAAATAAAAATTTGTTTTTCTTACCGTGTCAATAAATGCACCAATATTTGGGGACGGTATTATTTGTTTCCTCCTAAACTTTGAAACACGGAGTAATTTTACAATTAAAACTCCGCTCCTTTATTTGTGTCTGATGCGTGGAGTATGACAAACTCACCGCCACGTACTCTGAGCCACGTGCAGAGAGACTACTACCATCGTACGGTGGTAGCGGTTGTCACTACCAATGGTGACAAATTTCGGTGATAGGTTTATCACCATTACGGTGATCCTTGCTATCTCCACTCGCATGGTGATAACGCCTGTCACCCAATTTCTTAGAGTGTACTTCAATCGTCTGTAAAGTAATTTTAGTTAGCATAATTTATAACGACTAACATATGTACATATATTTATATACATTATGTATATAGTGGAATGTAAATAATTCGTACCTTTTTACTCATCAAAATTAAAACTTACTTTATTCACATGCGTGACCGATACAAATTTTGTTTAGTATGAGATGAGTTTAAGTTTGACAAGCCAGACTTTTGTACTGGATTCTCACACAGAAAATGTGTGTCTTTATGTATTGTCAAACGAGAAGATATTGTAATCTATACTGTCGTTAATATAGTCGTTATTGCACTCATTCAGGGTTAAGGAATGGATTCGCACATCGTTGTCAGAAGTGTAAAATAATTTATTGCGACAAGTAAATAACAAACGAGGATAACCATTGGTCCACGTAATAGTGTAGGTTTGTGCAATAGTGAACCTGATGTTATGTGGGTTTTCATAAATGCTCAGCAGTTCCCATGATGACAATGATGCATATGGGTTTTAATGGTCAAGAATGTTCATGGCATGCACAATAATTTCGTCTCAATCTTTATGCTCTTTTATAAATCTCTTCGCAACCGATTCGTAATTAATTATTTCTTATAAAAACTAGTCAATCTCTTAACAATTTACATATACATACATATCCAAATATGGGAAACTAAATCTTGTGAATATAAATTTGCTAAATTTACGATGCAGTTTGACACCCTTTTTGTTTTTGTGTTTATTTATAATTTGTTACCAACAAACAATTAAGTATAAGATATTAATAGTCAATAAGGTTCATACATATGTATGTACATACATATTTATTTATTGTAATCAAAATTATGTTTTCGACAAATTTTCTGCAATTCACCATATTTTCTAGTCGTGCGAATATATCAAGACGTTTACGTATTTCCTTCATTCAATTATTGTCAAATCAATAGTATCTTTTATGAATTTGATCTGAATTTTGGATGAGAGTCTCATACAAAATTAGTCTGACCAAGTTAATTCAATTACATAGCATATGAAATGTCAACAGTTGACTTATTACGTATTTGCATACCTACAAGTGACATTTTCAAATACCTTAGCTTCATTTACACCTGGGGTAAGCTTTACGTTTGGCACCATTTCACTTTATCTCGCCTTCCAATAAATTAAACAATCAAATCTACATTTTCCACCCCAAGGGGCCCAAAAATACTTCGTCTTGTGCCTTAAGCAGTCCCGCCATTCCTCGGACCCCACCCACCATAGCTTTCGAATAGACCAACTCCATTCTCATGCCGTCTATCACATTCGCGATCCTCATTTCAGGGTTCCTTTCCACCAGTTCTAGTACAGATTTCAGTCCCTCCTCCAAAAGAAGAATTGCATCCGTTGGCTGTAATTTTTTTTTTTTTAATTTTCTAATTTATCCGATATAACATACATATTTCTGAAAAAAGTTGATCTCACCTTTCCCGCTTTCCGAAGTCCTCTCCCGACTGCAAATTTAACCCCAAAAAATTCCACTGTTTTCTCTCCACTCCAATTTATCAAGGCATCCTCACCAACTTCTTTCCCCTCTTGAATTTTCCCACCAAGAATTAATTCCTCCGCTAACCTCCCTTTAGCCGCTAGAATCTCACCCTCATCGGAAAGAAGATCCACTTGTAAACTCCGCCAATCCGCGGCCTCGTCATATTTCTTCAAATGGCTGAGTGTATCAGCTAAGTTTCTCATCGTTATGATGCAATATGGCCCATGCGGACTCCCCTCGATAGTCAAGAATTTGTCGTACACTTTTCTAAAGAGATCTACAGATTCTTCCCATTTGCCCCAATAACGTATCGCGCAGGCCAAATTGTGTTCCAGGGCGGTAACCTGAAGATGATCCGGCCCCAACTTGTCCCCCATTTTGTGCACGTTCTCCCTCGAAAATACGAAACAGTCGAAAGTGAATTCCCTGAGAGCGATCAAGTGGTCGGATATCTGCTCGGAAATTGGGGACAATACGTTAACTTCATCCTTTGATAAGCGCTCGACCGCGTGATACCATAAAACCAATATCTTCACGACAGGATTCCTCTCCTTGAAGTCGGACAAGTTCATGTTTTTCAGGATTTGCGAGACCACAGCGCCATCTGAATTAGTTCTGACGCATTTCGCAATAGTGGAAATGTTCTTCGGGTACAGCCAACCCTCATCGACACCAATTTCAATCCGTAAAATTCCTAAGTTCATTAAAGTTGATAGCGTTTCTTCGAAATTTTGACCGGCGGGATTTCCAAGGTTGTAAAATCTCTTGAGATCGTCTCTCCTTACGCGTACGTTGTGCTCGATAAAGGATAAAATTTCGATAAGCATTTTCTCATCAGGCGTTACCCCGTCCATTAATAAGTTTACTTGTGCGGGAAATATGACTTCATCAAAACCACCTTCTTTTCCTTTAATTTTATCCCGGAATTGCGCAATGTATTGTTCCACTGTAATTTCCCTTGCCTTCATGAAATCCGCGGCAAATTGCAGCGCACTAAAATTGAATTCAAGCAGTTCACATAGCTCGAAATCCTTGGCGTTATTACTTGCTCGCAAACTCCGCAGAAATTCTACCGCTTCTTGGTTTCCCGCTGGCGGGACGTGGTACCTCTTGCTTCCCTTAAAATTTTTTATCCCGTCAAAAATGCTGCCGTCTTCCACGCAGATCACGGTGCTCACGACATTCAGCGTTTGCAGGGCTTCCAGTACTTCAACCAGCTCTGGAAACAGGGTCTCCACTCCGGAGAAGATTATAAGCGTTTGGATACTGGGCTCGACATAGTTGTATCGAAGGAGCAAGTGTTTCTCAATTTCAGCTACGATTTGGACCAGCGTTAAGGTGACCTGTCAAAAAATATTGTCTTCATTCAAAATTAAGTCATTTTATAAATCGGAAAAAATTATTCATTTACATTATTCAATTCTTCAAATTTTGAAAATAAGTATTCATTGTGCATTCATTTTAACTCAAATTCGCCTTATTAGATGGATTTCTCAAAAATACAGCATGTATTAAGCACAGAGTGAAAAATGAATATGATATGAATAAATATTCATATTACTTCATTGTTCAATTTTTAAAGAATTAGTCACTCATTATTCATGAATTTTTTAAATAATGAGTGAATAATTTATTCACTCTCTAAATGCGTGTGAATAGTTAAGGTGCTAACCTGGGAGTGGAATCCGGATACGAGCGGGATCTTAAGGTATTTGGCAACTTCAACGATGAAAGTCCAAACGTTATGAGCGTTTTCCGCCTTAACCCAAAAGATGTGGGGCGAATTGCGACCCAGCTGCCACTTGTGATCTAATGCAGACATCAAGAGTTCCTCTTTTCCGCTTCCTCTATGCCCAGAAATGATTAAATTTTTCGCTTCTAGGGCCATTATTTCGTTCAAAGCGACCAAAATGGTTTCCCGCTCTTCGGATCGGGTAATATTTTGAATATCCTTGTTTAGCGGGAACACCCAAACGAGCCCGGTTCTTGGCTGCTGGTTTAGAAAATGTAGAAATTCTGGAAGCGATTTCTTAGTGATAAAAGTCATCTCTGGGTTGAATTGTATTGGTATTTTGTCTGAAATTCATAAATACATGTGTCAAAGTTTAGGGTTAAGCAGGTATCTTAAACGAACGTAGAAGTCGGGATTTCGCAATGTCACTTTTTAACCAGTGCTGGAAATTGGAATAAACAGAAACAAGTAGGGTATTGTGATCTACCCGCATATGTAAATAGTTTTCAAAAATTGTTTTTCCCCATTTTTACCATCCTTGGAGTCAAATTCTTGTCCATAAATTTTTAAGATATCTTATCTCCGCCAAAATTTAAAAAATCTAAGTGTACATACCTGCACACTCATAACATCCTATGCTATTCAAAATTCCGACGAGGTTTCGCACATTTGCCAATTTTCCTTCCTGCTCAACCCAAAGGTCCACCAGAGTTAGGAACAGGACCCACGCGTCGTCATCCGGGGTAGGTGCAACGCCTGGAATTCCCGACCTCAGTTTCTGCATTGCCTCCCACTCTAACGGGTTGATATTCATCATTGTCGCCAATTCGTCCACTTTTTCACAAACTTTGCCATCCTTGCAAAGCAAATTGACAACTATACTCGAGTCCAGCGCGGCAATGACAACTTTTGCCTGTGCAAAAATGACATACATACATTAACGACATAAGAAGAAATTGCAATATAACCTTGTCAAACTATTTAACAAAATTTAAAATGTTAAAATTCTAACTATATATGCATTTGTATTCTGCAAAAAAATTATGAGAAAATTACAAGTCGATAATTAATATTGTTCAATTCGAATAGTCCTTAAACTTAGCAAGTACTAATACGACTACAAATGGGTAAAAGTGCACACACCACAAAAGTGACCTAAATATGTATGGATATGAAGTTATCTAGATTTTTTAAAACATTAAAGTTCAACGAAGTCAGCTTTCCCCATAATTACTAATTACACAGGCCACAATTTATCCCACTGCATGTGCTAAAAACTAATTTGTCCCACATTTCCAAAGAACCACTGAGGAAAATGTGCGTATTGGATCAAGACAAAGAAAACTTTGTTGCATATGTACAAATGACATATACATACACTCTTAAAAACCCGGTGTTAATCGTCACCGCGTAGTCTGCATGCATGTGTGACTTAACACAATGATGACAATGTTTTTCACAGAATGGTAATAAATTGTCACTGGCTTGGGTTAATTTTATCACTATTACATATATAGAGAAGCATTATAACCACGCGGTGAAGTCACAAATGCACGCCGTTCGATCACCGCTCGGGGACGATAATACCGGGTTACAGTAACGATAACACACACCAACTGGGTGACTTTATTACATACCATTTCTTATTGTCCAGATTTTCCAAATTCCTTCACAAATGTGCATAGATTTCTGCAAGTAATTAATCCTTTCCAAGAAAATATTGAAATATGTATTTTATTATAGACCAGCGACTCCTCTTCACTTCCAGCTGGCAAAAACTGACGTGATTGTGCACTGTCAATGTTCTGCTAGGCCAAAATAAATTGTGTTTATGTACGTGATACACACGGTAAGATTATGTAAACCACTACAGAGAAGGTGATCATGCCCTTGAATATTTATTTCGTGGAAATTGTTCCATGCCAGATTATCTACGTATGTAATAACTCTACATTTCGCACACACTGTCACGCACATAATTGTACGAATGTGCATAGATATGCAGGCATGTTATATGTGCCATTATCGTGATTGTGATGTTATACAAAGATTGACTTGATAAATATTTATGCCAGCCTACATACATAGTAAAAAATAATTCCATTTTATTCACTCAAAGGATTTACCTAGATAGTTAACTTACATAATAATATCTGGGTATTGAAATGTTATGTGTATGTATGTAGGGGAACTGGCGTATGTATCTAAATATGTATGTATGTACATCCAGATCTGTACACTCAAAGCTCCTCATCTTTTCAATGGCATTGTACATATTCTGTCCAAATTTGTAGATACTTCTTCATTTAGCCTACGGTGTCCAGAAGATTAGTGAAAACGCTAAGGTCACCAGAAAAACGGGTCTGACAAAAATTATTTATTTTAAAAGTGTCAGAGTTAGTGTGAAAGAACTTTTAAAATTTAGAGATTTACATATAACTAAAGATACGCAGATGGGTTTGAAATTTATGACAATATTTTCTACCTTTGTCCGTCTTAACCTGCATGTACGAGTGTATACATACATAATTGCATATCTAAATTCCACTACACTTGACACTAATTATATGTAAATTAATTCCATACGTATTTACATAAGCCTATATGTTTGACGTTATGATCAATCATGTTTAAATTAAGATGAAGCATGCAGAGATGTTTATGCCGTTGTCTCACGCTCCATCGAATTCGATTTTGTTCATTTTACTAATTGCCGTGACCTATGTATCTAGGAAATATGTATAAATGATAATTTGAAAAAATAACCCATCTCTAGAATAGGCTTAAGCATGTACATTTAATGCAACTGGTGAAGATTTACATACATAATGCATAAATAATCCACCGATGTTGGATATATGTGAAATTGAATGCTAAGTATACATCTACTTTGCGAAACATGGGTCGACGATCGAGTATTTGGAGAATTATTGGTTATCAGGAATTAATTGTATATCAATTACTCAAATTCAGTTAGGATTTACGGTTTAATCCCGCAAAGGCAAGCTCGATAAGCACCGCTAGTAGTAGGGAAACAGACATAGATTTTCTAACGCCCCCAGTTTCCTCAATGGTCACTCGTGGTTTGGTAGATCCTGCCCATTGCAATCTTTTGTCATGATATAATCTGTCAAAGTACCAACCTGTCCAAAGTCCAGGTGGGAGTGACCGCCAGAATTTAACACGAATAAACTCCACAGCATATTCGCTTTTCATTTGTAGTCGTTAAATGAGAAAAAAAATCTTCCAAAATCTTGATAAAGCCTTAAATGTGTATGACGAATGTCTAATTCGACACTATACATAAACTGTATCAACTTGACACAAGTTAATTGGGCAGATCTACCCAATTACATGGGTCGACTTGATTATAATTTGTCATATTTGTGCACTCACAGCCATAGTGCCGAAAATATACATACATACTAACAACAATCCCCTGAGTAAAGTACAAGGTCGTACATTTATGATAAAAAAATTCGGCTTGATTGCCTCAGCTAATATGCACACCTTCCAGAGAGTTAACGTCACATGCTTAAGCACGATCTGTCATCTGTGTAAAATATCAACATGAGTGCATGCATCTACGAATGTGCATAAATATGTGTAGCACATGACATATCCTACAAGCCAGTGACTATGCAATTTTGAAAAGTATTTATGCCCACGTAACTTCTCTCCAGTTCGTCCAGTAACGATTTCTCATTCACTTCGTCGACATAATTTGCAAATATTCCGCATACATACATAATTATTTTCAAAATTCTGCAATAAAATGTTTTCCTGTCTGATATCCTGCCTTTTTTCGGCGATCTTCTATTTGGCTATCCTTCCTGCCTCTTTCCTATTCGGGGCGAGGGTCCTCGTCAAAAATCTGCGAGGCAAGGTTGACCCCACGAATGAGATTGACATTAAGGGAAAAACGGTGATTGTGACGGGTGCCTCGGACGGAATTGGGAAAGCAACTGCGGAGGAATTTGCCACCCGTGGCGCAAGAGTTATTTTGGCTTGTAGAAATTTACAAAAGGCTGAGAAGGTTGTGCAAGATATCCGATCGAGAACGAGGAATGGTGAATTGGTACGTAAATAAATGTCTATGTACGTATGCAAATTTTATTATTGTAAGTGATGAGCAGATCCACATATACATATATTTTGTGAACCAACGAAAGTCAGTTCAAAAATCTGCTAAGATCACAAAGACGAATGGATTTTTTAAATTTTGTAACATCATGTTAAGAAATTTTGGAAAGTTTAAAATTTAGCGTGTTTCAAAAAAATATTGAGGCAATTCACACAGTCCTTGGTTGCTTTGTAAAATTCATAAAATCTGCAAACTTACAAACTTTTATCAACCTTACATATAAATAAACATTTCCTATAAATAACTTACGAAAATTAGCTGACAAATTTTTATAAGTTTACTCAGAAGGGCGTCCTTTAATTTTGCAAAAGCTTGCAAAACTATTTGACATTTACGGATTGTAAGACGTTACAAGGGACTGCGTGAATTGCCTCATTAATTTGTTGATTTTTATATTAAATCAGCAACGGCTTAGTACTCATGACATGAAAAGTTTACTAACTTTGCTCCCGTATTTTGATTTCCGGGTTCCAGATAATAATGCATCTCGACCTGTCATCGCTCTCCTCAGTTCGAAAATTCGCATCCGAATTTATCCAAAAGTATCCATCAACCCTGTCCATCCTTGTCAATAATGCCGGAATTATTAACCCGGTTGGAGTACAAAAAGTAACAGAAGACGGATTCGAAGAAACCTTCGCTGTAAATCATCTCTCCCATTTCCTCCTCACAAACCTCCTCTTGCCTGAATTAAAGAAAACAGGCGAAAACAATCCTACTCAAGCGAGTCGCATAGTCATCGTTTCTTCCGGAGGACACAGTTGGGGGACGCTCAATTTTCACGATTTAATGTACCAAAAGACTCCTCTGAACGATTGGGAATTTATATCCAAACTTTACTGCAACTCAAAGCTGGCGAATAACCTGCACAATTTGGAACTCGCTAAGAGGTTGAGGTCAGAAAAGGCCAACGTCAACTGCTACGCATTATGTCCTGGGGCTGTTGACACGAACATTGCGACTGAAAATGGAGAGAAGCATCCGGTACCGTTTTGGGCAAAATATGTAATGTTTCCACTGGTCAGAATTATTATGGGGAAGGACGCCAGAGAGGTAACACATTTGCATACAATAAATATATATGTATTTATGTCTCTACATAAAATAGCCATGTTTCGCACAATCGTTTACGGATAAAAAAACTTTGGGAATTTACGTCGTCTTATTTAAAATTCTCGTTTTTGAATTTGAAGTTTTTGATTAGAAAACCATTCCACGAACAGTGACGATATGTAAATTTCCATACTTGATCTACATATATGTAACATTTTTACAGGGTGCTCAAACCACGGTGTACTGCTCCCTCTCGAAATGTTTGTCCCATCACAGTGGAGAAATGTACAGAAATTGCGAATTCTGGGATTACAGTAAAAGACCCAAATTGAGCGAGGAGGATGCAGCAGCCTTGTGGGAAAAGAGTGAACAATTAACTGGAAAAATTTAATAATTTAGTCACTTGAAAATAAAATGACTTATTTCGAATTTATTTTTCCTTTAATGTTTGTTATTGCTTATACAGTATTATTACCAATGCCGGTAGAGTCACATGTGTACTTGGGTCAGTAATGGTGTAATAGCAGTTAGTTTTCCAAGAGGGTAATTATGTAGGTTAAGTCATTTCAACTTTCAATTTCATTCAAGTTGTTATGTAATTGTACATAATTCTGTATGAAAAGTTAAACAATTTAAAATAAAGCTATTAATGTAAATACATATAAATTATTATTTTATGTACAGTATGTCATTTAGCTAGCGCAGGATAGATTGAGAATCTTAATAATAGATGCATGTACATAGATATGCACATAAATGTGTCTCATGCTGGCAACAGATTATAATTTTAATATCGACCATTAAACATGCTTTGGCAAGAAGAAGAATGTTGCACCAGTTGGTTTGGGGAAATCTGTAAACAAGGGCCGCAGAATCTGCAGGGACATTTGGGTCAATTTAGAATTAAAAGGTATATTTAGTGGGAGGGATAACGTACTTAAATAACGGATCAAAATTTCTATGTGGACATTGTCTGCCTTCCGCATCTCCTGAAAATTTGCTGGGCTGGTCTCAGACGGTTTGGCTCATCTTTCCATTGCCCTCTCCTCTTATCATTTTTTGCCTCATTAATAACTCTGAGGATTTCCCGTGCTAACCAGCAAAAGTCATAATAATCTCACTTTATCCTTTTATCCATTCCAGTCTCCTCAGAGGACAGGTGTTGTTCTCACTCATTTCTTGAAAGAACACTCAAAATACATAATTCTCTCTTGTGACAATGTCTATTTGTGTAGCTGGTTGCTCCATCCGAACTTTACTCCCCTCCTGGTAAGGGGGCAATGCGTAAAATAGGTCATAAATTTATACTCAATTACCACAGCGTCTATTGTTTTCATGTTTACGATCAGTGTGATAGTCCCCTCAATTTGCAACGAATATCTACGTAAAATTCTAGCATTCTTACATATGTAAATCCCATATCGACGACTTCACTTATGCACGGGCCCACATGAAAAAATTTGGCTTCTCTCCTCCCGTGAGTTAATCGAGTAAGACAGAGTTTAATGGGGGTGCTTAAAAAAAATTTAATAATTACATATCTGTGCAACCAGTCGGGGTATAGCTGCATACAGGCGATTCGGTTTATTCAGGCTTGAAGATTCACTCGGAGAAGAAGACGCTCACTCATCTTCTTGATACATACAACTTTCTTCGATACAAATATCAGAAATACCCAGTTGAAGTTGCGATGGTAACCAAAAAAATCATTTTATTTCGATTAATTGCTTATGGTAAAATGCTTCGTGTAATAAAAGTCGTGTCCCTAATTACATTTTAGGGTGACAAGCTTAGCGCGGCCGAAATTGAAAGTAAGACAATCTTTTTTATGGAAATCGAGCAAATTTATTATTACATGCTAATTACGAATTACATAAATTTACTCCCTTGCGATATCAGGGGCTCAGTTTGCCTTCTCCATCTATGATTTTGAAGGGAACGAAACTCTAGACGCGTTCCAGTTGGACCCCGCTTTACGTGCCCTCGGTCTCAACCCGACGCTCAAAACGGTCGAGAAGTTGGGAGGACAGAAGAGAAAGGGTGAGTAAAGGATGAGGGTCATGCCTGCAGTATGTCATTAATTTTTATGTAGAAAAGTTCAGTTTTTCAACGTCCTTTCTGTGCGAAACGCATGTTGTACACTGGTCCACATTGTTAAATATTGTTGTTTAAGGAAGTCAATATTATGGTCCCATTATCCAATTTTAGACACTTTTTTTACATTTCCTGGAAATTTGTGTATCTTCCCATTATTTAAAGCAATTTTGGTACAGGCCAAAAGAAGTTTACAATTGAGGAATTTCTCGCCATCCTAGCCGAAGCCAAGAAGGACAAGGATGTCGGGAATAAGGAAGACTTTCGCGAGATTCTCAGACTGTATGACAAATCTGGCGATGGAAACATGATCTTCGACGAATTAAAGCACATCCTCCTTTCAATGGGTAACTAATTTACGTACTAAATATCAACCTGATATTAGATCGGACCTTCCAAAATTTGAAAGAAAAAAAAATATAAAAAAATGAACAGGTGAAAAGTTGGAAGCTGATGAGGTTGCCGACATCATCAAGGATTGCGCCGTGCCGGCAGATGATGACGGATTTACGCCATATGGTGGTAAATTTTAAAGTCGAATTTTTAAGCACAGAGTTTTCAACCACTTAAAATTTAATTAATTCATTAAAATCAAATCAAATATTTATTATAGTTTTCCTGGACAAGTTGATGGCTGGCCCGGTTTTAAAAGAAGACGAATAAGTGTTCTTATTCTGTATAGGGCGAATTAAATGATAGGATTTATGTAGGTTGCAATGCTCCTTTAAGTAATATGCACATTCAGTTTTTACTAGAATTGTGTTTCTCCAAATTAACACGTCGACAAAATAAATATTTGCCAAAAATAGGTTGATTTTGATGGGTTGTAGATCATTAATTTCTTCCTTGCATACATATATGTACAAGATTGGTATTCATAATTCTTGAAGTTTGAAGAAAGTGCAAATCCTATATTTCTTTGATTTGAAGAACTTTTGCAGGAATGTAAAGTGCAAAAGTATAATAATAAACTGTTAACATGAGCATATCATTCATCCAGATGATTTTTCTATCCGACAGGAATTGCATTTTGGTAAGAAAAATTATGTAAAAATTTATGAATATGCACATTTAGTATTTCATTTATGTAGTAACGAGAATATTAAGATTCTTGTAATATCATGTTTATTCGATAACATTTTCACATATTGTGTTTTTTTTTAATGAAACTTTCTAAACCTTGGGCCAAACGTAAATATTTCCCCTCATCGACGAAACTGCATTAGGATAATGAAATGCGTGAAGACTTGTTGAATGACCTGGATTCGATTTCATTAAAATATTAAACATTAAAATCTGACTTCTCTCCACTGCTTATACCAATATACTTATAAACAAGAAATATTTACCTTACCCCCAAAATTAACGAGCTATTCAATGTCACGTAATTGTTAAAGGACACTTCTGTAGGATGAGTTGTCAGCAAAGTGTGAACTTCACGCAACTGATAAAAGTTTAAAATGAGAGCATTTTTATTAAATAATCTGACATTTTAGATACAAATTACCTACCTCAGTGGAATAGTAATCTGTTCCAAATTTCATCTTTAGACCCTCCGATTTCAGTAGGGACGCAATCTGCGCTTCCTATTAAAATAATTTCCCTGAGTTTGAAATGCAAGTGTTTTCTGCATATGCACACTGTTAGAAATCTGGTATAGTCTGGCAGGTATTGAATTCTCGGGATTAAATTTGCTACCGCTTGGTATTAAAGTTGTACCGGTGGGTAAAAATTGCTACCGATACGGTAAAACTTTAATACCGACCTATTACTAGACCGTATTCCTTATCAAGACCACTTTGGTAGAGTAATATATGAATACCGCTTGGTATTATTTTAATACTGGATTCCTAAGAGTGTGCACGCCCTTGATATTAGTGTATCTAACCTCCTTAGTTATTGACACGGCCATGCAAATTTTTACATAGAGTCGACTCATTCCATACGCCACCCATGCCCCCGTCATGCTAGTTGTGATCCACAACCACGAAGCGTCCCAAACTGGTTGATCGCTTAGCACGGAGACAAATATGAAGCAGGACGCTCCCATAAAATATATCGTCATAGAGATGGAGACCAGTTGTTGGGGGGCCAAATATTCTCCGCAACGTTTAGCTTGTGATCGTAACTTGATTAAAAGGAGATGAACCCGTCGAACTTCTAGTTGCACGAGACCCCCATCAAAGGTTTTCTCAATGTGGGCCCGAACCTTTTAAGGGAAATTACATTTAAAATCTTCGGGGAATTACTTCTTGGGTTCAAAATTTTCAGTAATATTTACATATGTAATTGAAAATTGCACTAAATTTTACAAGCTAATTAATGCACGTTACACATCAAAGTTTCGATAAAACGGTAACACAAATTCGTCCATTTTTTTCTATATTCTTGCAAATTAAGATTTGAAATCTGATGTTACACAATCGAACACTTACCTCGCGAAATTCGACTTGTAAACATTTCAGCATTACAAGAGCCTGTGAGTCTCCAGCAGAATAACAGATGTGAGGTAGAGATGCATAGATTATGATAAATACGCAATGAACCGGATATTTGGGGTCAAGTCGGAGGAAAGTTTCAAAACCTCCGACTGCAAGTACGGGCCCGAATTCAAACAATGGAATAAAATATTTGATAAATTTCCGAATTTTGATCTGGTCCATGCTAAAACCCATTTGTTGCATTTCGTCTTCAATTTCATTCCAATCGTTCAGCCATTTCGTGAGCTTGGGTGCTTTCAGAAAAGCGATGAAGTAGTCGATCGGAGCAATCATGACGTACACCGAACTGATCGAAGTAATCAAACCGGCCGTAAATCCAGACACGTGATCTATCGCGGTGTAAAGTTGTCCACTGTTTGTTGGCCAGCTGGAACATAATTTTTCACTGATTGACTTTTCATTAATTTCATGTTTGGTTTTTTCAGAAATAAATCAGCATTGTAATGAGAGTTGCAAAAAAACGCAAATAGTCAGTTACAATACTTACAATAGTGCAATAAAAGTTACGAGATATTGGGCATACTCACGTCATCATCGTAGAATTTCACCTTGTAATTCATTTATCAAATAGCTTTTGAAATATGTAAGAATTGTGAATATGAAAATTGAAATCTAGAGGAATGCAAACATCCACTATGGGAAATCTATAAAAAAGAATAGTCTACGAGCAAAAGGTTTTGAGAAATCTTTCAAACAAAATTCCAGAAATGAGAACCATCTAGCGGACAATTCTTATAATTAAGTGTCCATAGTACAAAGGGTGACGCCAACATATGTATGTATTTCCTGCATTTCTTACACTTACTATTTTTTGTTTTTTTATGGTGCAGTGCAAGAAATGACGAAAAGTTGCAAGAAATCAAACACTGTTTTTACATAAGTTTCGCTCACAGGTCAGACCCAGGTAACACGTCATACTTCAGTAACCCGCCATATTTAAGGACTCCAATAAATATCAAGAGGTTGAAAAACAACGCGAGAATTAGGCATAACGAAAATAATGCTCCGCCAAATTTGAATTTAAAATTTACTTGCCCCTTTTTTCTCATGCTTTCAAATGATAACGGACACAGGGCAAGGGATCGGGTGAACGTGAAAAAGGGAAGGACTTGTTGGGTCAAGCCAGGAAGAGGTTTAAGGGGCACACCAGTTAGGTCAATTGAGGTCGATAATGATTTTGTAGGCTCCATTACGGAGGAAATATGTAGATATGAACAAAGAACGGTGTAGTTGTTTGTTAAAAATTCAGTACACCGCATAAGTTAAAGAGGAAATTTAATTTGTTAATTGTCTATTTACGAATAATTGTGCTTCTGAGTAAGCAATCAAGTGGAAACTGGAAGGGTGGAGCGATTATTATGTATCGCACATTAAGAGATTATTCTTCATTTCACTAATTAAATATTTACCATTAGTATTACTATTGCATATTAACATAAATATTTATGTAGCAATAAGTATGTAAGTACACGGACGGTAAGAATTGTTAATCGAACTACAAACTACAAGGCACCTGTGCATATTTATGTATAGGAAGTCGTCGAGTACACAGTAGGACGCTAAACAAATTTAAACAAATATCACATCTAAATTTTCGGGTTTATGTCAATTTGCATGATCTATGTAACTTCTGCCAAATTTAGTCGAATAAATTCAATATTGCACACCGAGCGTTTTAGCATTTAAATAAGTGAATATGTACGTACATATGTACAGAGTATATAATACTCTTATGTACGGCGCTGGACTCTTATGAACGGCGCTGGTCGTTTAGCCTTTTCGAAATATATGCATGTAAAATGATTTCATGGAAAGAACAATAAATGTACACATGCAGTGTATATAAATAAATTGATGCGTATGAAAAAAAATATATATATAATACAATTTGAAATTGGTCAACAAGGTTATATAATTAAATTTATCAAAGTGCAAATTATGTCTCCGATTTGCGTAAAGTACCTCATGTGTACATGTATTTCATAACGTATAAATCGTTTTGTACGGGTTCCACTTTATTGTCGATGGCATTGGCGAAAAGATTAAAATGAAAGATAGAATCTAAATAATTGACGTAATGTTTTATAATACAGGCATTAGTATTTGTAAGTATGTACATATTAAAATTTATATAGGTACATCATTAAGAGCTATTAAGTACATATAGGTATACGTATCTACCTATAAATATGTACGTATTTATGAAGATATTTATGCACGCTTGCCCTTATTATCTTCATTCTGTTTCACTTCATAAGCAAATATACGTTCTAAGAAGATTACATTACCTTCAAATTCGGTCAGATTTACAGATTTACAGTATGAAACTATTAATTTTTTCATATGTATTTACTTAGGATTCATTATATGTACATGAATACATATTTATTGTGTGTAACATGCACAGGGTCATTTAACAATTAATTTGAACATTTTGAACCATTAGACCTTCCAAGAACTGAGATTTTCTGTAAAAAGATCGAAAAAGGTTTTCACAAGGATGAAAGGCACCTTTTCATTGCATTATGAAAAATCAAACGAGCGTGACGACAAAAAGGTTTCAAAATCTAAACTATCTATGTATGTATATATGTATGTATGGTTGAGTATTATGATGTAAGAAAAGTGGGTTTATTTGTACTCCTGTTGTAGCAAAAATATTCGAATCTGGGCTTCCAGTAAATACTGTACGTGAAAATATGTACAATGTTTCCTTGACTTACTTAATCATATATATACATAATCTTAAATAGAAAAATGTTACATATCCCGTAAAAGAACTCGTGTTAATAAATAACCCAATCACATCATTCTCTGATTTTTATGGGTTTAATAAATGATGTACATACATGTGTACACCATCATTACACAATTTATGGTGTAAACGACCTTAAAATGATTTTTATTTGACTTGTTAAATTTAGAGTTATTTTATTTCTGTCTCATTAAACAAAAATACAAATTTATTACATACGAATGCACTCTTCTCTATGTTATCTCCATCCCGTCTGAAAATGCCTGTCCAACCAAACTTACACAACAAAGGAACCTTTCATACTTGTGTAAATATATAAATTGCAGGTTTCCGTTTAAAATCTTGCCTGCCTATCTCAACGTTTTTGAAGTTATACACTTTCGCTCACAGAGCTTAAGGGACACGCATAAACCAGACTAAACTGGAATTGTATGTATATCCATTCCAAAATTATAACCAGTTAAATATTGAATTTAATTATGTAAAAAATGACCAAATAAGTAAGTACGAGAAACTTGTTCATGTCCAAACTAAGCACTACAATGAGTACTAAATACAATAAATATCCGATTTTTTTCAGACATGTGTACAGTGCATATACCTAATAATCTTGTTTTTCTTCTTCTAATCTGCTTGCTAAAAAGCAATATTAACTAAAAATGACATTTATATGCATGGTCACCTTCTTCGTGCTGCATAACTAAACAACTTTTTTCACTGCGCGTGTAATAATGGAGGGTGGTCCGTGAAATGGTTACACAAACTAAACTGATATACATAGATATAAATAGGTATATGTTTTTACGTTCATATTTACATTATTTATTTGAATAATCAGGTTGCCGATTGAACGTTTTACAATAAATTTGAATAAACGGAGTTAAGATAAATGCGTTAACAAGCTGATGTATGTCTTGGAGGATAACAGATAGACGTAAATATCTGTATGTACATTTTTGTGTTGTAAATATGTAAATACCTACGTTAAGTGTCATATCACTACTGCATATGTATTCAGCAATAAGATATGAAATTTTTTTAAATAGATAACGTACTTATCATACAGTAGCAGGCACGCTACTTGTAACTTTTCGCCTGAACCACCCTGTAAATATGCATACATATACTTATGTAACGTTAACGCGTATGTGTAAGACAAGTTTTCCAGTTTTTATGCTGTTGACCCATGTATGTTACACATAATCATCTCTCTGTGGTTTCTTCTTATAAGATGCAAACCACTTGACATAACCTACATATTTGGAGAAGAATTCCTTATCTCTCTTGCCCTGGACTGCATAAAGATGCTTTCCTAAACTGTATATGTAATCTGGAACTGGTTACAAATACATCAACAAAACTGGAATTTGTACATAAGGGATCCTCCGCAAAGGATGAGGCCGATTTTATGGGAATTTTTACCTCAGTGACCCTCATGAAACCCAAATTATGGTTAATCCGGAAATGTCATGATGATTTGATCACTTTTGACCCTCACTTTGGCCACATTCTTTATGCCCAGGCCCCAAAAATGAAGCCTTACTCGTACTTTTAGTCCGTTTTTATTTCGTCATATCCAGTCCTTTAGTTGACCCTGCTGAAGATACATCTTTAGAAAGGAAAAGTGTACATACCCACATTTTTTTCAGAAATTTCCTTCCGTTTTTTGTACCAAGCCATGATTTCTGATCGGTGGTCACCCTGGGTGGGTGTACTTCTCCTGGTTTGCATAGGTCACACCCTGTCACAAAATGAGGTCGATTGGACGACAAAAATCAAGCTGGCGGATGGAAGAATCGAAGCCAAGTGGAACACGGAGGATAAAACGTATATCACGATAGAGATCAAGGGCCCGGTCAATGGTTGGATGGCGATAGGGTTTTCCCACAACGGCGCCATGAAAGGGGCCGACATGATTATGGTTTGGTTGGATGAGGTAAATGCGAAGGTGGTCGTTAAGGTAAGAAATGTGATAATTTATGTACATAGGCAGATATTTTATTTTATGTATTCTTAAAAATTAAATTCATGACAGGATTTGCACGGTATTGGAAACCAAGTTCCGGTGGTGGACGAATCTCAAGATGTGGAATTGTTGGATTGGAACGTGGACGATGGGATTTTGTCGGTTCGATTAAGGAGAAAGTGGAACACGTGTGATAAGCATGATTTCGTGATTGGGGTGAGATTACAAATTTACATGCATATGCAATTAATTTTACGAGGCGTAATTGCAGTCGGAAGCGTGCATTGTAATGTAAATGAAATATGAGGCTTATTTTGGGGATATTCATGGCCTGTTCGCAGTTCGCACCCGGAAGAAATGCTTCCAAATTTTGTAATTTTTTATCAGAGTAGAATTTGCATTGTTCGCAAATAATTTTCAACTCAATTTTTACGAAAATTTTAACGAACTTGGTTCTGTACATACATACTTGTCGTGAATACCCCCAGTATCTTTAATGATACACATTCAAATTTCTATGTCGATTTTTCAAAAAATAATTGTCTATCGCAATATGCCTTAATATATTTAGATACAACTATTTAAAAAGTCTACACATTTTGGTTGTTTAAAACTTGCTCGTAATTTAATTTAAGAAATTCCCATCCCAAATTATTTCAGGAAGAAACCGTAAAGTTACTGTGGGCTTATGGCACCGAGATTCCTCGCGATGAGTCCACCTTCACTCCGAGTTACCACGGACCGCATCAACGAGGTCAAAAAATGGTTAATCTACGGCTTCCCGCGCAACACACAAAGTTTCCTGAAGACATTTCCCCTCCGGATCCAGACATCAAGTATTTCGATATCGTCATGAATAAGGTTTCAAACTATTTTGAAAGAAATTAATGTAAATATTTGCAATTTTGATTATTTCCTAATACTATAAATATTTATTAGTATCCCGTCCCCGCTAAAGATGTCACAGAATATTTCTGTCAGATGATGAAGTACCCTAATTTTGATAACAAGGCACAGATCGTTGGGGTAATCAGATACAATAATAGCGATTTAGAGTTTAGTCTATATATAATTTCAAATTGCCCGCCCTTTCAGTGGAAACCCTTAATTCAAGAGGAGAACATTCCCGTGGTGCATCACATCGTTTTATACGAGTGCATTGTTCCTGAAGGAAATTCGAGCGACATTTTTGAAAGTCACGTGGGCCGCGTGGAATCCTGCTACACGCCCAACATGCCGCCAGAATGGGGTGCCTACTGCTGGACGCAACCCATCGTGTGGACCATTGGAGGGGAAGGGTGAGAAAAAATGCGTGCAATCCAGTAAAAATATTAATGTTAATAAATTTTTCTTTTTAATAGTGACATGTTCGCAACGCATACGGGAATGCCATTAGGTGAAAAGCATGGAGGGTCCACCTACTTTTTCATGGAGATGCATTATGACATTCCGGAATTAGTTCCGTGTAAGAGAAATTTAAATTTAAAATTTAAGCTTTGGGTAACCGCGGGAATCTTGAACAATTTAAAATACTTCATACCGCAACGAGGCAGTTTGAGACTGCATATGTACATAAAGATAATTAATAATTCTCAGGCTAGCACTGTGCACAAAACGTACTTAAACTGTAGCGATTTGAAGTTGATTCCAACTTAATTTGAAATTTTGAGTATACAAATCTTCTACATTTTTATTTAGATTTTTAATTTTTACATTTGCAGTTATTGACAGTTCTGGACTTCGAATCTATTACACCGAGAAACCCCGACCGGAAGACTTGTCGACGCTTTTCATCGGAAAAAGGTTCTCCACATTCCATTTCATTGCGCCAAGGGCCGTCGGGTATCAAGCTTTTGGTGGATGTACGTCTGAATGTACGCAGAAGGTAAAAAATACTGAAATAAAAATAATCAAATTATAAAATCTGCATTTTCGTAAACAAAACAAATTATATAATTGAAAGACTTCACTAAATTTATGCTTCGTATTTACTAAAATTAGGCCATTCCGGAAACTGGAATCACTGCGACCCACGCGTTACTCCATGCTCACCAAGTAACCAAGAAAATCATGCTACGACACATCCGAAATGGGAAAGAATTGCCTCCAATTGCAATGGTAAGTTAATTTTCAGAAATTATTGTTCTACCTAAAATTTTCAAAATTACCTACTTTAAAAAAAATTCCGTATTTAATTTAGGATACAAATTACGACATAAATTACCAACAAGCCCGCATCATCAATCCCCCGAGAAAAATCTTACCGGGTGACGAGCTCTACACTTACTGCGATTATGACACGAGTGACCGAGAAGTTCCTCTCTGGGTAGAAAATTCGCTACTTTTCCAACTTTTTATGCAAATCATGACAACCTTTAAAATTTTGTATTTAGGGTGGAATTACGACAAACGACACGGAAATGTGTCACACGTTTTTGACTTATTATCCCAAACAGAAGATAGCCACGTGTCAATGGCAAATCGAGTTTGACGATTTCATCCACGCCTTGGACGTCAATAGACTCGAAGGTAGCGTTCTCCCTCTCGTGTCAACGCCTTATAAACCGAAGTAAGTTTTTTTTTTACATATTTTGGAGGAAAATTTTCAGGAAACTTTAAAAACCATTAAAATTCACGTTGGTCAATCCCATAATGCCATAAGTATTTTGCATACATATGTACCAACTCAACCGAGGAAAGATTTTGCAAATCCAGGAATTAATCTTACAAAATAATCTGATATAATGGAGATATTCATTACGAATTCCATGTTCTCATCACAACATAATTTTGAAAAAACTTCAAACTAAATTCTAGCCTTGGAGATTCGCAAGTTCGCAAATGAATTTTCAAGCCACCTTTTTTGTGATATTGTAAACTTCATTTTTTGGTAACGTTAATAACGATGCGAACTCGTAATGAACACCCTCAATATCATTTGATGATAAAATTTGATCAAACAAATCCAATAGCTTTCCAGAGTTTTTCTTGTAAAAATTTGAAAATTACGTAGAGATTTATGCTAAATTTCCGAGATTTGCGAAAACTGTATCAAAAATATCATTAATTAAATGTAATCATTTACGCATTTTTGTTCCAGTCCGAAGGATAAATATGACCCCGAAGACGAAGTTTTGGTCTTGCTCGCACATAATTTGAGTACCAATTTATTCACCCAGTTGACCATCGCAGACAGTGGGAAGCATTCCGGTAAAAACTTTTGGGACTACTTAACCAAACTTGAGTGGGGTCGGGATAGTGGAAAGTTGGCGAATTCGGTCAACAGAAAATTGGAAAAGGCTCGAAACTATGCCTACTGCACGGAACATGCTCATTTGAAAATCCCCTTAAAGGTTTGTCCAGATATTAATTAATGATTAAGTAGTTTTATGTAAATACTGATACGTCTTTTATTAATTTTTTTTGTTTACAGGAGTACATCAAAAATCCTCCCGTCTTTGAGCAGTATGTTAATCCGGAAGACAATATTTGTAAGATTTTACTTATTTTTTAAATAAAAATTTAAAACAAACCTTTACAACGTTCTTTTTCATTAAAATTTAACAGGTCTTGGTATGGGAAGTGGTGGACGAAATTTCTACCCGAATATTTTAACACTTTTCATTCCACTCTTGTTCATCTATTTCTAAAATAATTTTATGCTAAATACTTGACATACGTGTAATCAAGAATGCACACACATTTACAGAATAATATGTATAAATTGTATTACCATTTTGTACGTGTACTTATGTACCCTTCTGTACAAACTTACAGTGCAACTGTGATACACACTTAACATAATCAGACACAAATATGAATACGTATAATTGTTGTTTCTGGAATAATAAAAAAACAATATAATGTAAGAAATCATTATCCTTCAAACTAAATATTGAAGGAAATACTTTTTTTATAATCTATGCGTTCAGATTTGCTTCAAACTTCGAATTTATGCATGTATGCACATCAAATTGGACTTGTTCTTTGTTCGGAATGGTTGTGAATGCACGAAAAATATGTAGTGGGGGCTAACTTAAAAAAGTATGTATGGCCTGACGATTTAATCAAGTAGACATGATAATTGCATAAATTTTAGCATAACTAATTTGAAATTAGTGATTTCCGTGAGAGGAAATTAGTAATTTCCTCTCACGGCTTTACAGTAGTTAAATTCTTATGACTCACCAAAAGTAAAATATATATGTATGTACGTATTAGGACTACATAGTACCATCAATTATAATTACTAACCCATTTTATTTACCAGAAATTCAATTAATTGTTGGATCATAAATACATGACCAGGTTACAAATTTACCGAGGAACGAAATCGCCAAAAAGTGACAAAGTATTAAGCGAGGCAAAAATTGTGATCCAATATGCGAGTACATTTTCAACTGTGTACATATTCAACTACAAATCATCATTCCTAATATATATATATCTACATATGTACACACATACAAAATTCAACAAAGTATTGCAATTCTGATCAATAATAACGAGTAAATTTAATAAAATAGCGTCACCGCCATCCACTCGGTGACTTTACCGGCGTGTAAAAAGTTCAGATAAGGCTAGATCAGTCCCCGCGAAGTACTATTCGATACGTATCTCCCGTCATTCGCGCCATCCTCTCCCTTCGCATCTGCTCCTGGAAATATTTCGCATTCTCGGGGTCCAAATACTTATTTCCCACAGGTAGATATGACACCACAAGCTCGACCATCTCCGGAGGTAAAAAGTTTACCAAGACGTCCTTCACTTGGGCGACGTACCACGCCCATTGCTGACATGGGACGCGAGCTGACGACAAAATCCTAGTACCTGGATCGACAAGGAAAAACGCAAGGATTCTGCGATGTCCGGGTTTCTTGGGATTATCCAGTTCAAAAGGAGCCACACGGTGAGAGATGATATTCTTAAATACAACGCTTCGGCCCGGCACCGATTCGATCGCGAAGGAATTGTTCCCACCCTCAAAGACGTTCGTGACCCCACCCAATCCCCGCTGAGTAGGAGCAAGAAGCAATTTTGACTTGGTAATGTTCTCATTGGAGAAGTAGTGCAGACCAACGGCGACGATTTGTTCGTTTGCCATCCCCTCAATGTGCCACCGTCCGCCTAGAGTTTGTGATAATATATTTGTGATCATATTTACACACTTTAGCAATACCACAATTCCTAACATATTTCCCACTAACCCGGATGCCTCGGATTGTCCGGAGTTAAAATTGTTGTCGCCATCCTAACCACGACTTGGATCTTCCTTCCGCCCAAGGTGACAGCAGGAGGAAGACTTGCCTGCTTCGCAATCTCACTCTGCGCGTCCGAGGTTCAACCTCCCGTCTCTGGACTCGGATTTCGGTCAGCGTCTTTTCAAATAGTGGAATCATCTTGGTCAAAACTTGCTCCAGAGTTGCGTACAATTCCCCATGCTCCGCTGGATTTAGACCATTCACATACGACGTGAAGTGCGACGTTCCATCCGAGTCGATTGAAACGTCAGCGGGAAGCATTTGGTAATATGGGTCCCATTCCCTGACTGGCCATGTCATATCAGCCGGTATTTGTGCTGCTATTTCTATCCTCACGTTTATGCTGGCGGCATAGTTGTCGGCTTTGTCGGAGTGGAAATGTAAGAGGTGATTGTAATCGTAGATATCCTGAAATATCAATTTTTTCCAAAATGTCAACTACTTCGATTTTTAAGGTGACCTTATCATGATTATGGTACAAATATGCATCAAATGGCAAAAATACCAGTATTTTAAACACAAACCTTTTGTGGTTTCGGGATAAAAGGCTCTTTCAAAACGTGTCCCGCCCTCTCTGCTAAGTAACAATACATGTAGGGGCTGATCACGTTGATTATACGATTCTCCGACCCTGCGACATTGCATAAATCATAAATTGTAATCAAAATAATTATTTATTTTGGTATAAAAAAAGTTGACCTGGGTGCCAATTATTCTCCTTAATAGCGATTTCTTCAACTTCCGCCCCTTGCTCAACGAGCCGCTGGGTCAGGGCGACGTCCACGAGGTCATCGGCCACCCAGGAACCATCCAACGGGCCGGGATACATTTTACCATCCATCAGAGTCAAGTAGTGGGGAAGTCTACCTGTAAAATTGGTGTAAAATTCCAAATTTTGTAATTTGAACAGTATTTCTAAAATGTGCATCAACGTTGCAATTTTTGTTACTAATAAATAAATTAGTACACTTGTCACCTAATTTAATTACTTACTAATCACGACCGCCCAATCCTTCTTGATTTGTGGTAAGATGACCTTCGTTAGTCCCCAAGTTGACGCCACGTTATCGCCAAGCAACTTGTCCTTCGCATCTTGGAACCATTCGCTCACCGTGGACCAATCATTCATGTCAGCTTCCCACCCTGGTCTTGACCTTATCATCCAACTCAACCGCATCCGCGACACGTTCAACGAACGGGAAAAGTAACGGCAAATAGTGTTGTGAGGATGGGTGTAAAATCGTTCGAGAGGGAGGGAGGAGGAGGACATGATGAAAATAAGTAAGTCGCAAATAAACTCAACGTTTATTAATTTAATTAATTAATAGTGAATAGAGCAGACTGCATGCAAGAAACAACTCGTCAATATTTTATTAGTTGTTGTTGTGTAAATTTTATTTTCACCTCCAACTTGGCTCCCGCTTTCATAATTATGGACGGTTGAGAATCATGTAAATGAGATGAACTGAACTTATGTAAATGAAGAAGAAAAAATTAATTCCACATTCATATCATAATTCATTTATATTCATGTCAGAATGTTTTAAATTGTTTAAAAAATCTAAGATAATTTATAAATTTAATCAGGATTGGTCTACTTAAAATAAACGTTTTTAAACTAATTTAGATTCGATGGAATTTAACTTGCTAATAAATTTCTGTGGCGTTGGGTAAATTTGTCGCAGGGTAAATCTGGTAGGGTCAATTTGCATTTTGTCATGCCTTCGTTAATATTAATGCTTGCAAATTTCTCGAATCTGGTGTACTTAGGATTCCATAGTATGCATGTATATACATATTTACATATGCATCTGTCGCAAATTTGCATTCGTCCCTAATTCACCATTAAATATAATTATCAGCGAGTCAGAGATTAACAAACGTGGAAATGAACTACAACTACTGGTAATCGTATATACACATAAATGGTAGCTTACCATACTTGTTAAGCCGCTAATTATAATCTAAATAAGTACGTTCATACTTTTGCTTAAATATATTTAATTTGACTTTATTAAAACGAAATAATATATGACGTACAAATATGTATATTATATTTAAGTTCTGTGAGTGAGTAAACAAAATGCATGCAATTGGTGGAACTAATTTCTATACAATTTCATATAACACATTTTTTTTTACAAATTACGGATCCCCTTCTTGTTCCACCGCGACGTGGAAAGTGTCCCTCTTGGACCTCGGTTGCCTATTTTTAACCACAGGCTCGACTTCAATGCCATGCTTCCCCTTCAAATGCAGGGTTAAAGCGGACTTCATAACGAACCCCTTTCCACAGTGATTGCAGGTGAAGGGACGCTCCCCCGTATGAGCTTGGAGGACGTGCGCCTTCACAAGGGCCGGGTACTGGAATGATCTGTCACACTGGGGGCATTTGTGCGCCTTGGGGGTCACATAGCCCGCGGTGTGGATACTCTTAATGTGCAAGGTTAGTTGGTTCTTCATTTTAAACGCTCGTTCGCAGTGAGGACAGGGGTGTCGTCGTTGGTCAGAGTGGGATAATTGGTGAGTGGTAAGGTGTCGCATTTGGGAGAATTTGGCGTCACATTTCTGAAAAATGCAATAGTTTTTAATTAACATTTACAAACGTCTCAAAACTTCCAAATCTTTTGTGAAGATAAACTGTTTTTGGTTCGTAAGTGTACGTGGTTAGGACTTACGAAGGCTGACGTGAATTGCATCAATGTTTTGTCAATGAAATAAGTCATTTTGAAATAAGAAATTTTTGCAAAGTTTGCAAGCAACAAATTGTCGTATTCTTTTGCAAACTCATGCATCTGAACTGGGTGTTCAGGCTGAACACCCTAAATGGTTTACAAAAATAGTTAATATTTCCATCTTACATCACAATTGTACGGCTTTAATCCTGTGTGCGTCAACTTATGTCCTTGAAGTCCCTTTAGTGTAATGAAAGTTGCTCCACTGCAATTATTTATAGCGTTATTCCTCCGGAAAGCTTAACTTAGGGTGGAGGCGCAAACCATGTTCAACCTAGATTGCTTTTTGACCACTTTCAGTTTGAAAGACCAGCTCTTTATAAACATCATTTTGTGCACAGGCGCTGGGAGCGAAAATTTCGACCGGAAACTGTGAACTGAAAACCGAGAATTTTCTGCAGCACACAGAATTCCTTTAATTTTTCGTGTACTAAATGCTGTTTCAAAAGAGTTGGTCTTTCAATTCAAACCGTCAAAAAATTGGGCTAAACATGGTAAGCGTCCCCATTGTTACATAAATTAGTAGAAAATTAATTACCACTCATCGCAAACCAGCGGGTCAGCTCCATGCTCCCGAATTCTGTGAGACTGGAGGGTGCTATAATGCAGAAACTTTTCCCCGCATGTTTCACACTGTGGACGCCGCGATTCGTCGTGAGTTATCAGATGATGTCTAAGGTTGAAGATGGTGTAGAATTTTTTTCCACAAATGTGGCACACCTGGTCTTTGGCGCCAGTGTGGTCACGGGCGATGTGGCTGGTTAGGGCGTACCGATGGATGAATGATTTCTGGCAGGAGGAGCATTTATAGGGGCGAACAATTTGGGCACGCTGTGCCTCAGTTAATTCCGACCTTGGTGGACAACCCGGTGGCTTTTTGAAGGTTATGGTATCCTTGTCCTTGAACAATTTCAGGTAACGGTACACACTACTTTTTGGAATGCCTAGCTGCTCGAAAAATTTCCATGTCTTCCTAGAGTTTCGGTTGGCCTCATTTTTGTAGTAGTCCATCACCCGTTCGGCCACTTGTACACTTTGCGCCCTACTTATCCCACCTTCAGCACGCTCGTAACGGGGGACGCTTGGGTGGGCTACCTTTCGGTGGGCATCTCTCGCCTTATACGAGCTAAATGAGGCGTTGCACTGCGGATCAAAGCAAGGGACGCGGTGCTGGCAGGCAATATGGTACGACAGTTTGGGCCCGGTGGCGAATGATTTCGGACAATTTGGACAATTGTGATTTTTTGACTTGTTTTTCTTATCAGAGGATTGTTCTTTCGATGAGTCGAGATCATTGGAAGGAAGGTCTTCGTCGTGGAATGGTGATGATGAGGGAGAAGAAATAGGGCTGGACTTTGTAATCGGGACGGAAATCCTTTCAAGCGAGACGGTCAGTGTTTTGCAACCTTTTGGAGGAAGAACTGGTGTTTTAGTGCGCGTTGAGCGACGTTTTGAAGTAGGAATCAGAATATTTTCTATTTTTATCCTGGTCGCCGTGGGGTTGCGTTTCTCCGAGTTTTTGACTCGTTTTCGAGAATCGTTTTCAACTTTTCGCTTAGTTCTAGAAATAAATAAACTTATGAGAAGGATAAGCTAAATAACACGTTGTGTGTCAAAGATTAGTATTTTAAAAATATTAATTTCATACCGTAGTGGATTTGTTTTTCTAGTAGGTTTTCGGGCTCTCTCCCTTCCCTTCCTTTGTGGATGTGGATTAATGCAGAAGGGCAATTCGTCATTGTCGTCGTCGCCTTCTTCATATTTTACCTAGATGAAGTGTTCTATCCCTCTCTCACTCTCGTGGAGAGGGATGAACAACAGTCCGTAAGAAAAATCAACCACAATTCCGCTGCAAAATGCATCGGATTTTAGCATCCACACACTGTGTTGGGAAAAAATCTAGTTCAGTGGACTAGCTCGGATTTGATTTAAATTTTTTGTGTGAATACCCTATGGTCCCCTGAGCAAGAAAATACCTTTTTTTCGCGGCGGCCTCGAAAAATATAATTTCTAGAAATTTTCGAAATTTTGAATAAAAATTATTTTTTGCCTCGGATTTTCATGAAAACGATTTTCGGGACTAATTAAACTATACTGAACAAGAATATGAAGGAATTTTTGAAAAAATTCAAAACCAAATAAGTTATCAATTTGTGAAATTTAGTATAGAAAATATTATTGCACATTTCAGAGAATTCCAAGACTTTGTCTCCCTTTCCCCTACGGCAGGAAATTTTTTAGGGCAAAATCAAATTTTTGGGGTAAGATGAGATTTTATGTTTCAGCTACCCTAACATAACCTAACCACCTAGCTAGATCTACTAGCTATCTTTCCTAGCTAGCTCTCCTAGCTAGATCTACTAGCTATCTTTCCTAGCTAGCTCTCCTAGCTAGATCTACTAGCTATCTTAAATACGAACAATACCCTATATGGGCCATAAATATACTTTTTTTAAAATTTTTTCTCAATATTCTTTATATTCTTGTCCAACATAGTTTAATTAGTCTAAAAAATCATTTTCATGAAAATTCGAGGCAAAAATAGTAAGTTTTGTACAAAATTTAGAATTGTTTAAAATTCAATAAACCCAACTCACTACCCCACACGTTATTTACTTCTCCTACCCAATGCAATGGGATTATTTTAAATCATAAACTAATTAATTCGCTTTGCACAACCACCACAACATTCATGCACGACCCTTCCGTCGCTCAAACTGTGGTGCTCGTTTTTCTTACGGACTTACGGCCAACTGTTATCACGGATAGCAGTTGGCCCCGTCAACTATATTTTACCGGAACCATTTCTTCCTCGTTATAAAGTTCGACGGCGGGGGAATAATGGTCGTCAAATAGTTCGTCCCCACCCAGGAATCCATCTCCATCCTGTTCGACTTTGATCAGCACTTCGTCCAGTGCAATGTTGTCGTCTTGTTGGTCGTCATTATCTCCTGATCATTGACCACAGTAAATTTTTAGTTAAGAAAATCTTTAATAGAAAGTAAAAACTCATTAAAATTGCTAATTTCACTCAACCCATCATTTTAAGTATGGTTGTCCTCAATTTGTGAACCTTGTCCCCATCATCATCCCGATTTTCTATTGAGGAGGCCGAAGAAGCTAGCATAATTTCGCGAATTTCAGTAATTTTCACCCCAATTAGTTTCTCCAGGGCGGACATTTGACCCCGGATTTCCTCCATCTCGCTTATCACGGGGGCACAAACCGGGCAGAGTTCACAGCTCTCGTCCTCTTCAAATTGTTGAGTAATTGTTTTGCGACAAGACGACAATGACAGTAATTCTCCCAGGGACGAGATTCGCATTTTTCTACTTTCCTCGACGGTGGTGGTGTCAATGGCTTGGAAACAGAGAAAACAAACTTGGCTCGACATAGTGACTGTGAATTTCATGTTACGGTTATTTATTTTCTTCGATTGTGAAAAAATTATTTCGCTACAAAGTTTACTTTCACATTTTCTCAATTTTCCTACTCGCCTCGCAACTTTTGGTACTACATGAACATGTAGCACACTTAAAAAATATAGGTTGTAATTGCACTTGGATAATTTAATTGAAATAAACTTAATTGTAACAATTAAATGATTTTGAGAATGGGAATTGAAATATTTTTACAAAAATCTTGTTTGAGCAGATGACATCAAATTCGTGCCATTCGTTTTAAAATGGGACGAGTGAGACTCGTTTCCCTTAGGAAAACAAAGAGAAATCCATTTCTTCATGCATGAAATAGCTACAAAATGGATGAATAATTATCTCATCATAACTGTATCATCAATTATAGGATTTGAATATTTATTTTCCAATTAAAAATGTGGACCAGAAACTGTCTCGTCTGAAAAGCAATGGTTTTTGGTGAACAAAAAAAAGCTGGAAAAAGTAAAAAGAAAACGCATTTGAACCAAAATTTTAGCATGATAACAAACTTTAAGCACATTTTCGAAGTTATAATTTTTTAAACTTCCTAGATTAACAGTAACAATTTTCAAAATCTGACAAAAAATACAGATTTTTAAGCGCTATTATTGTAGTATGATCGGGGTTTTCAAGCAGTGGGGAAATAGATGTCACAAATTCACGACAGTGCTCGCAACGGGTCGGGTCCCAGGTGGGAGCCGGACCCGGACCCGACCAGGACCCGGACCCGAATTTAGAAACGGGTCTTCGGACCCGGTTCACTCGGGTCCCATAACTACTGATCCGGACCCGACGGGTCCGGGTCCGGGTCTTGAAATTTCTAGACTCGGATCTGGACCCGGACCCGGACCCGAACCCGAACCCGAGACCCGGGTCTTCCGTTCTCATATTACATCTAAGCTTCAAAGTTCCCTGCTTTGATTCCTTTAAGATATGCAGCAGTACTAGATAGTTCTAAAGTGTGCACGAAAACTGAAGGAGGATTGTACTCCATGTCCCCATTTCCGCCCACGACATGCCACATCCCCTCAAAAGCATTACATCCGCTAGAACTGCCGCATTTAAACTTTTACCAAAAATTCAATTTTTGCTCCCTTTTAGTAATTTCCTAATTTTCGTGATCGTGCATTATTGTTTTATCACATCCAAATTGAACTAATTTAAAAAAAAGTATTTTCTAAAATTTCCTAACCAGGGATGTTTTCCAAAAAATCAAAATTTATAAAAGTTGATTTTGATCTTGAAAATTAAAAAGTAACTATACACTTGCAATCCAGACAGTAAAAAAATCAAAGATTGAAATTAGATTTTTGGTGATGAAACGGTGATAATCTTTTCGCATTTTTTGTGCTCTTGCGTTGGTGTGCTGGCTCAAATTGGGTCATGAAGTAAAATCCTCCTTCGCTTTTCGTACACTCACTTAAATATTAAATGTTAAATGTTTTTAAATTCTTCTATGATTAAACATATTGATTAAACATAGAATTCTGTCTTTCATCACCCCAGATTTGAAGTAGTCATAAGGACCCGGTTTTCGGGTCCGGGTCGGGTCCGGTTCCGGCTCCGGTTCCAACCGTCGGACCCGGACCCGGACCCGACCCGAGACCTGTTTATATACCATATAAAATCGGTGACCCGGACCCGGCGGGTCCGGGTCCGGGTCTTTTAAATTTTTGATCCGGACCCGACCCGGACCCGGACCCGGACCTGGGACCCGACAAAAACGGGTCTTGGGACCCGGACCCGTTGCGAGCACTGATTCACGAACTAAAGCTAAAAATGCACGATAAAAAGTACCCACTGCAGGAACCAATATATGATTGGGTGAATTAATTATAAAATAGAGGAAAATCAAGGTCCTCACAAGAGATCCTGTGAAACGAAAACCGGTTTCCACAGATATGAATTGTGGGGAAATGAAACGTGGGAAATGCGATGTGGGGGTATGAAGTGCCCTAAAACCGTTTGTATGTAATATATTTCAGACAATTTTTACATTCACTGCATGTTTGAATAGCTAGGGTGAAAATATTTATTTTCAAGTTCTGCGAGTGAGTAAATAATGCATGTACATACATACTTAAATTGTGGAACAAACTTCTAAAAAATCTTACAAACTACGCATTTTTACAAATTAAGGATCCTCTTCTTCTTCCACCCCGATGTGGAACGTGTCCCTCTTGGACCTCGGTTGCCTATTTTTAACCACAGGCTCGACTTCAATGCCGTGCTTCCCCTTCAAATGCAGGGTTAAAGCGGACTTCATAACGAACCCCTTTCCACAGTGGTTGCAGGTGAAGGGACGCTCTCCCGAGTGGGCTTGGAGGACGTGCGTCTTCAAAAAGGCCGGGAACTGAAAGGATCTGTCACACTGGGGGCATTTGTGCGCCTTAGGGGCCACATAGCCCGCGGTGTGGATACTCTTAATGTGCGAATGTAATCGGTTCTTTAATTTGAACGCTCGGTCGCAGTGAGGACAGGGGTGTGGTCGCTGGTCAGAGTGGGATGTTAGGTGAGCTTTAAGTTGTTGATTATTGACAAATTTGGCGTTACATTGCTGAAAATATACAGTAATTTTGTTAGAAAACTTATAATGTTTTACCTACTAACAAATTTAGGTCTCCTAGCGTATGTTTTCCGATTTTGACCAAATTAGTGTCAATCCATCAAAAACTTAATAAGAAATTTGTAAAAGCAAAATCTGCCGATGTTGAAGGAGTAATTAACATCCGAAAAGGAGAAAATGTGCCGTAAAATTGGCAAATTTTACACACTCATACCAAACCTTACTGTGTGTTTTCCCCTCTTCGGATTCAAATATTCCTGACGAAACTGCGCATGGATTGTCTTTTATCAAATGTCAACTTAAGTAAACTTTTGATCGATTAACACTAGTTTAATTAAATCTGCGAGTACATATATTTACGATGGGAGGCTTCGACTATAAATAAAACTGTCACATTGAAATAAATCGTTTTCGAAAGCAATTTTTTCAAAGTTTGCAAGTAACAAAATATTTTTTCTCGATCTTTTGCAAACTCATCCCGAACAATCTGCTCGCAAAACAGTTAATATTTCCATCTTACATCACATTTGTACGGCTTTATTCCCGTATGTCCCCTCTTGTGTCTTCGAAGTCCATCTCGTGAGGCGAAAGTCGCTCCACTGTAATTATTTAAAAGGTCATTCTTCCGGAAAGCTTAAGATCGGATTAGATGACTGGTCTCCCAAATCGTCAAAATCAATACAGGTTGAATGATTTCTCAGCTTTTGGGGTATATGTTTCTATCTATCCTGGACAAATTTGTAGACTAGGTCGGTGTCAATTTTTTAAACAATACACTCCAGATTTGACAGTTTTTTTTATAGAATCTCAAGTTTAAGAAGGCTGCAGAAAACTTGGAGCTCATCGACCATTCTATCAATCAACGTACTGACAACTAACAATGCGAGGGTGTGAGGTGTAACCTTCCAATTTGGTTGAAATTTTGAAATTATGTGGTCCATGTCAATACGTATCTTCAGGCAGTTTGTGCGATGGTCAGAATTTGTCAAAATATTTGAGGTCAAAGTCGAAAAACGGAGAATTTTTACCAGGCGGAGGAAGCTAACTTAACTTCCATTCTCTTCCCGTGCTAAAAATTGCACATTTTTTAACTTTAACTTCAAATATTTTTCCAAATTCTGACCATCGCACAAACTGCCTGAAGAAACGTTGGTTGTATTGACATGGACCACATAATTTCAAAATGTCAACCAAATCGGAGGGCTACACTTCACACCTTCGCATTGTAAGTACAAATTTGTCGTCCAGAATTTTAAAATAAACTCTCAGAGCCGAGAAATGATTTAATATGTATGCATAGATATTGACGATTTTGGTGATGCGCCATCGAGATAGATTAGTTGGAAGGTAGTTACCACTCATCGCAAACCAGCGGGTCATCACCATGCTCCCTAATTCGATGAGTCTGGAGGGTGTTAGAATGCAAAAACTGTTTTCCACATGTTTCACACCGGGGACGCAGCAATTCGTCGTGACTTCTTAGATGAACTCTGAAGCTCAGGACGTTGTAGAATTTTTTTCCGCAAATGTGGCACACCTGTTCTTTCGCTTGAGTGTGGTGACGGGCGATGTGGCCGGAAAGGGCGTTCCGTCCAGCGTATGATTTCGGGCAGGAGGAGCATTTAAAGGGAAGATTAATTTGGGCAGAGTTGGCAGGACGCTGTGTAAAATCCGAGCTTGGTATTCGACCCGTTGGCTTTTTGAATGTTATGATATCCTTATCCTTGAACAATTTCAGGTAACTGTACACACTACTTTTTGGAACTCCTTGCTGCTTGAAAAATGTCCACGTCTTTTTAGAGTCTCGGTTGGCCTCATTTTTGTAGTAGTCCAACACCCGTTCGGCCAACTGGATACGTTCAGCCCAACTTTTTCTACTTTCAGCTCTCTTGTGAGTGGAAACGGGTGGGTGGGCTACCTTTCGGTGGGATTCTCTCGCCTTATATGTGCTAAATGCGGCGCCACAATTAGGAGAAAAGCAGGGAAAGCTGTGCTGTCGGCCAATGTGGTAGGACAAGGTGGACTCGGTGGTGAATGATTTTGGGCAAGAGGGACATTTGTGAGGGCGAATTTTTTGCTTGTTTTTCTTATCGGGCGAGCGTTCTTTTGATAAGTCAAGATCGTAGGAAGGAAGGTCTTCGTCGTGGAATGGTGATGATGAGGGGGAAGAAACTGGGCTGGACTTTGTAATCGGGACGGAAATCCTTTCAAGCGAGACGGTCAGCGTTTTGCAACCTTTTGGAGGAAGGACTAGCGTTCTAGTGCGCGTCGAGCGACGTTCGGGTTCAGGATTATTTTCTACTTTCATCCTCTTCGACGTGGGGTTGCGTTTCTCCGAGTTTTTGACTCGTTTTTGAGAATCGTTTTCAATTTTTCGCTTAGTTCTAGAAATAAATAAACTTATGAGAAGGATAAGCTAAATAAGACGTTGTGTGTCAAAGATTAGTATTTTAAAAATATTAATTTCATACCGTAGTGGATTTGTTTTTCTAGTAGGTTTTCGGGCTCTCTCCCTTCCCTTCCTTTGTGGATGTGGATTAATGCAGAAGGGAAATTCGTCATTGTCGTCGTCGCCTGCTTCATATTTTACGGGAACCGTCTCCTCGTTATTCAGTTCGGTGGCGAAGGAGGAATGATGGTCATCAAATCGTTCGTCCTCCCCCAGGAACACATCTCCTTCATCCTGTTCGACTTTGATTAGCACTTCATCCAGTGCAATGTTGTCGTCTTGTTGGTCGTCATTATTTCCTGATCATGAATGAATCAATCAATCAATGCTAATTTATGTTTAATAACATACTAGAAAGAACAAAGAAGAAAAACATTATAATTTCACTCAACCCATCATTTTAAGTATGGTTGTCCTCAATTTGTGAACCTTGTCCCCATCGTCATCCCGATTTTCTATTGTGGAGGCCGAAGAAGCTAGCATAATTTCGCGAAGTTCAGTAATTTTCACCTCAATTAGTTTCTCCAGGGCGGAAATTTGACCACGGATTTGCTCCATTTCACTTATCATGGGGGCACAAACTGGACAAAGTTCACAGCTCTCATCCTCCGCAAATTGTTGACTAATTTTTTTGCGAGAAGAACCAGACGATGACAACAATTCGCCCAGAAATGAGATTGGCATTGTTCTACTTTCCTCAACGGTGGTGGGGTCAAGGGCCTGGAAACAGAGAAAACACACTTCCCAGGGCATGATGACCGTGAATTTGAAGGGTTAATTATTGTATTAAATTGTGATTAAATTATCTATTTCGCCGAAAAGTATTATTTCCTTGAATTTTATTACTGAAAATAAATATGTAGTGCACTTAACAAATATAAGTAAGTGCACTCGGAGCAGTTCAACAATTAAGTGAGTGAACATCAAACATTGGATTGAAATATTTTTGCAAAAATAGATGTTTTGAGCAGATGAAATTGAATTCGTGCCCATTTTACATTCGGGGCTACGCAGGAAAACAAAGAGAAATGCTGATCTTCAATTCTTCATGCATGAAAAAGCAAAACAAAATGGTTAAATAAGTATCTCAGAATAACTGTATCATAATAATTATGAGATTTGAGTATTTATTCATCACAACAATTTGAAGAGAAGCAGTCTTCTCAAAAAAGCAATGATGGTTTGTACACTGGTTACGTCGAAAATAATTTTTTAAATGAGTTGCAATGTGAAATAAGACGTTTTCGGACACTTGATGTTACATACATCTCGAAAAATACATTTATTTATATTTATTTAAATGTATGTATTTATGTATGTATGCACACGTACATAACCATGGTTATACGTATGATAGAAGCACTTATCCGTTAAATGCCTAAGTTGATAGTTGAACTCATAATTAATTAACTATATAATTGATGGAACATATCAAACAGCGGATGCTACTAAATAAGTGTTTAAATAATTACACTGGCTATAATGGTCTGGGGATCGAGTTTCGTGGTACATACGCGTGGTATGAGTGATTATTTAACACTTACTGATGACTGATCGGAACATTGGGATTGCAGATTCGGATTTATTCTCAGGAGAAAATGCCCACATTTTGGATAAGATGCAAAATACTGTATGTATTGACGAGCAGTTATGAGGAGAAAGTACAACGCATATTTATATAGCACTTGGGGAAAAGTATGACGCGATCAGCTTTCAACTCGTCATGTTTTCTAACAGAAAAATATACTTTCCCTCGGGAAAATTTCTGCGTTGAAGTTTTCGCAAAGTAAATATGTCAACATAACTTGTAAAATTTATCAGATTTTCGAAATCTTTTTCTGGAAAACTGTAGGATTTATTTCGCAAAAATAATTTCGCAAACCCATCCTGTCTATTGAATGCTTTAGAAATCGCAAATAATCCATACACATTAAATTAAAATATCACAACACATGTATAGATTTGTCGAATTTGTGAATTCATATTTTGCTATTTCGCTCATGACACAAGTTTTTTGAGCTTGGCAAATTTCTAAATGAGTTTGCTAAATAAAATATCGTCGTTAGAACATATACGCTTATTATACATATGTACATACATATTACTAAATTACGAAGTTTATCAACATTATAAATAAATCCTAATTCCATGCTTACACCTCCCTATTCACGTCGTGGGTAGCTATATCACCATCTTCCCTATTTTGTTCCCTAAGTTCTTGGCCTGGTGACGCCTCCGTAGACTTATCACCAGCGCCACACATACATCGCGCCACTGCGCCTATTCCCGCGCAAATCAAACCGATCGGGATGTAATAGGTTGTCGTGGTGTAGGTGTAACAGCCATCGCTGCGACACTCATCCCCCCTTTTGCAACAGTACTGACCACAACATTTGTGACCATATGGGCAACAAGAGTCATCATTAGCGCAACATTCATAGAAATTGTTCTTCCCGCAGCAGTAAATCGCGGTATCAGATTTCTTGCACGTCGTTTCAGTCCGTCGACATTGCCCCTGCCCCTGTGGATAAGATAGCAAGTAAATGACAGAAAGAAAACCCAGGCTGGAAATTTTGTGTATGTACATATTTAGTTCATTTTAGTACATTTAGAGGGGGAGGGGGAGGGGGAGGTTATCGGGTATGATAACCTCTTGTAACTGGCTATGAGGCAATTCACGTCAACTTCATAAGTCCATAAACTTGCCAAGATCAGATTACGAACCAAAAACATGTCTTACATCTTCGCAAGGTTTTGTAACTTCATGAGCAAAAATTACCTTGGAAATCTCGTCAAAGTTTCGTCAAAAGTTCGTAAGTTTACGTGGTTATTGACTTCCGATTTATGAAGTTTGACGTGAATTTCCTCTATAAATATTTTAGTGTGCCCCCTTATAAATTTCTTACCGAGCCGTACATTAAATCGAACAAGTTAAGATCTATTGGCTGCGACGTTGGGAAGGTAGATGTAAAAACTGAACTTGGGAGGAGTAGAATTAGCAAAATTGGTCCTTTGACAGGCAAATAGATGGTCTTCATTTTGCAGTATCTAATCGAATTCAGGGAAACTAAAAATCAGAAAAATATTACTTAGGATGATAAATTCGTCGGTTTTGGAGTCAGAGATATTTATACAATGAGATGGTAGATATTAGGTATAGTAACTCGGCATCTTCTGTAATCAATCACGTCGTGTAAGTGAAAGTGAGCATTGTATAAATGGGCTTTCCTCTCCCAGATCAGTGAAGATCGATAAGTTAACCTTAACCTTGATCTTAGGATTAGTTGATACACACATATAATCATGGATTTGAGGAGAATTTTGACCCCCTCCTGCTTACTTACTGTAAGCTACACGGGCATCGTTATGACTACCAATATCACTGGATTACAGATAGCGGTATCTGTAAATATATGTATATTCATAGGTACCTGCACTGTTAATAATGTGGTGGTCACATATTTCTCACTCCGTACTGGTAAATATACATACATTTGGGAATAACTTCCTCCCTAATTAGTAGTAGTTTGTTGCTGAGTGGTAAATTTTCATTATCACAACGGTGTACATTACTATACTGTATTACCAGTGAAATCATACATATATGTACATATGTACTCCGGTCGGTAATGATTCAATACCATTTTTCTAAGAGTGTATATATTCAATGTGTCACCGGATATTAACCCTTGCCCTGGTCTGTGTGACACATCAAATCAATCACGTGCTTTATATATGTATGTACGTATAAGACTTTTATAATATCGGTGTTATTTACGTAACACAACAACCCATGCAATGACAAAGAAAAAATTTATTTGCAAATGCTATATCACAATTTGGCGTACTCAGGAAAAGTTTTACATACATAGATGGCAAATTTTCAGGGACAAACCTGTGTAAAACTTTTGCTTCTATTAAGCCATTTGATGATGCCGAAAGTAATTTTCTAGATGAGTTGCATTACGAAATAAGACGTTTTCATACACTCAACGTTACAACACCTCGAAAATTAAATACATTTATTTTTATTAACGTATTTACATATGTACATGTAACCACGATTATAAATACATATGTACGCACATATGACATACTTTTAAATACAATACATAGAAGGATTCACCAAAGTTTGACGCCAAAGTTAACAGTTGAACACGTAATTAATTACATGCAATTTATGGGTAAATAGCAAACAACTGATGTCACTAAACAAGTGTTTAATTACACTGGCTATAATTTGTAGGGATCGAGTTTCGTGGTACATACGTAAGAGTGATTATCACTCACTGAGGATGAGATGGAGATCGGATTTGTACTCAGGAGAAAATGTCCACATTTTGGATCAGACGGAAAATGCTGTTTAACGAGAAGTTCTGAGGAGAAAATAGAACGCATGTTTAGCACTTGTTGGGAAAAGCATGACGAGATCAGCTTTCAACTTGTCATGCTCTCCTTCGGGGAAATTCCTGCCTACTCAATCAAGTTTTACATATCTGACAAATTAAATATCGCAATATAACTTGCGAGGGGTCTCAAATCTTTTGCTGGAAAACTGTAGAATGATTTTCGCAAATGTGCCCAGGAATGGTCTCATGTTACAGGATAATTTCGCAAACCCATCCTATCTATTACATAAATGAAATTGCAAATAATCCATGCAAACCAATTAACATGTTGTTTGTAGAGATTTCGAGACACACATTTTTTGGGTTTCGCAAGTTCGCTGAATGAGCTTCGATGCTGAATAAAATGTTGTCGTGAATTCACTTATTATGCATATTACATAAGATTTTTTTAAAGATACCAAATTACGAAGCTTACCAAAATTATAATAAATCCTACGCGCACCTCACTTTATGCTCCTTTTATTCACGTCATAGCCATATCACCATCTTCCCTATTTTGATTAAGTTCTTGGCCCGGTGACGCCCCCGTCGGCTTATCACCGGTGGCCCACACACATCGCGCCAACACGCCTATTCCCGCACAAATTAAACCGATCGGAATGAAGTATGTTTTTGTCGTTTTTGTGGTCCGATAACAGCCATCTCTGCGACACTCATCCCCACTTCGACAGCAGTATTTACCGCAACACTTGTGCATACTTGGACAGCAGCCGTCATCTTGGGTGCAGCACGTGTGATAGTTGTCATCCCCACAGCAATATTTTACGCCAGAAGATTTCTGGCAGGTCGTTTCACTTGGTCTACATCGCCCCTGATAAGATAAACCAAGAGAAATGTATAAAGCATAAGTTGGAATTTTCAAATTATGGTTAAACAAAATATTTATGTAACAAAATGTTTATTTGATGTCTTACCACACCGAAGAGGAGATTGTAAAAGTGATCGTGATCTCGACTCGAATTGGGCTGTGATGTTGGAAGTGTAAGCGAAAAAGTGTAATAACTAGGTAGGAGTAGAAAAATTAGCAAAAACTGCAACGAGATGGGAAGAGAGATGGATTTAATTTTGCGGTATCCTAGTGAATTTGAGGGCACTGAAAGTCATAAAAAATATTTTGTGAAAAGTGACATTTTTTAACATCCTTTATCACACATTTCACTAGTTTATATTGGGGATATTCATCACGCTATAAAAAATCACGGTTCAAAATGATTTAAAATTTATTTTTGAACTTGCTCATATCTCCAAGGCTAATATCAGTGCTTGTATATATGCACATATGTAGTTCGCAATTTTTGTTTTCAAAATGGGATGCGATGCGAACATGCCACCTCGTAATCAATCTTTACCCACAAAATCCTTAAATTGAGGACATACTTTGATCACGGTCTATTATAATGTTGCCCTCTTCACGTTTAAACAGGTAAACACCATGCAACTAGATAATTTACTTGCAATATTTTTTATAATGGGCGTACTAACATCAACGCCTTGTTCGGATCGCGACCAATGCAACAAAAACGTGTGCAATATTGCTATGTAGTAAAAAAAAAAGAAATGTCAACTAAATATGTAGCTGGTAAATTTGGAGGTAAAAATCTCATGCCTTTTTAGCAAAATATTTAGCAAAATTTCAAAAAGTTGGTGAATTTATATACAAGTTTTGCAAAAGTTGGCGTGAGTACGCCCAATATTACAGATCCAAAGCAACATACCGATGTATGTAAGTGAATCTTTTTATTTATGTAAATATGTATGTATCACCATCGCCATGCAAACGTCTACTTGTGTAAATACATGCATGGATATTTAGGTACATACCGAAGTACTCACCCATTTCAAACCCCGAACGTACTAACTTTTTAATTCGTAATTGATGATTGACCTACAAGAATTTAGTTGCAAGTTCTTGGTATTTCGGATCTCTTAAATATTAGTTGTACACTTTTGGTATGTTCCTGGAAATCGTGCTTTGTAAGAGGCTTGAGTAGTGTATGTAAATATGTAGGAGACCATTACCTACTGAACTGAGGATTGATACGGTGAGATCCGGATTGCTATTTCCCGACAAGCTGTTAGATGAAATGCAAGATGCTACATGAATGGTTCTGAGGAGAAAGTGGTATGTAACATTGGTCGAGAATATGTTAACGAGTCGGCTCGTTCATTAATCCATCGCTAGTGGAAGTGGACTATATGTACAATATGTATGTACATATGTAAGGATAACACAAGTTGGGCATATAAATAAGCAGCTACAATTTTTTCTAATTATGAATTTGGCAAGGTTTTTGCTAAGTAATTAGGTATATTAAAATAGTTTAAAACTTTTAATATTTAGCTTCGTTATGATGGCATAGAAGGTCACCCATGGTTTGCAGTTTGAATCACCTGTTGCCAAACTTGAGGAGAACATGAGTCTATTTTTAGAAAAATGCATAAAAATTGGTTTAATTACCGTACGCTAATTATAAATTACCTAATTAAATTATTAATCAGAACGCAATATCAATGAAATTGGGTTCTGAAATTATTTCATGTAACTTTCAGGTTTCCGAACACAATTTTTTAGCCCTCCTCATTTTATACTCTACACACGTCCCAAATTGTGTGACAATGCATGCAAATAAATCACCTTGAGAGTAAAGATGATTTGATCAATGTTTAAATATGTGAAATATGTAGAAGATGTTCTATGTAAGTCCTCCATTGAAGTGTTACATATTACTCATCACTGTGTAACTGATTACTTTCTACGTGAAATATAATCACTGAAATGGAGCTTATTTTTATCAATCAAGTATAGATATTAACTGATAAGTCATAATATGTACGAGATGAGGTTGAAATTTACAGTAGCGATAATATTACACGACCAAGGAATAATTATTATTTTACAATTTTAATTGTACAGAATTGTATTTTTATCCCGCATTAAATAAAGTAATAAAGAACTACAAATAATGCGTCCGGGATCCTTGGTAGTTGTACAAGTGTTGCTAATTTTTACAACAAGATTCGCGACCAGTGATCAAAATGTGATCCCACCCGAAATACAGGCAGAACTTGACACATTCATAGAATCGTGGATGACCGAGTTGAACATTGTTGGGGTTGGTCTCGCCATAACGAGAGGGGACGGAGAGCTGGCCTACACGAGGGGATACGGTTATCGAGATGTCGAAAATAGACTGCAAGTCGATCCCACCACTTTTTTCAGTATTGGATCAATTACAAAGGTCTGAATCCGAAATTTGAGCTAAAGGCACTTAGAAATTGGTATTTAAATGATACCAATTCACTACCACTCTACCAAAGTGGTAAAATATGCTCGGTATTAAAGGTTTACCACATCGGTACCAAATTCTTACAGACCAGTACACATAATCTTAATACCAAGCGGTAGCCACTTTAATACCGAAAATTCAATACCTCCATGACGATGTACTTATACGTAAATACACAAGATTTATAAGAATGTATACAGCCTTGATTCGAAAAATTTCAGAGCTTCACGGCAACAATTGTGGTCAAAAAGTTGAACGAGTTATTCCCAACGATGGGAGAATCCGTTTTGGACACACCGATAAGAACATTAGCTCCGAGATATGATTTTGTCATGAGTGACAGGTGTGCGTAAATCCTAATCTACATCATTAATGGTAGAATTATATAATTTCTTTCCACCCCATAAATTCATTACTTTTGATATTTATATGTAGGTATCGCACTGAAACTACTACATTTCGTGACTTACTGTCACACAAAGTCTGCACATTGCCAGAAATGGCTGGGATGTGGGTACAATCGTTCACCGGAGTGGATAATCTCATTTAGTGAGAAATTTATTTAAGATTTTGTCATAATTGTTTTTTTCATTTCAAAATTTGAACGTAATTATTTTTAACATACTCTAGTCGACACCGATACGCCCCGGATTATTGTAGCTTTCGCAATGGGTACACTTATAATAACGGACATATCACAATTGCTGGAGATATCATTGCCCACTTGGCGAATTCGACGTATAACGATTTGGTAAATTAATTATCCAAATTTTTGCAAACAATTATTGAACTAATTTACATATGTATATTTTTAGTTATCCGAATTACTGATTGGAATTGGAATGAATGAAACGACATGGGTGAAAGTAACGGATGACCATAACAATATGATGAGTAGGTCGGTCCCATATCTGAGAAGGGATGGACAGCTTATTCGCTACAATACGGAACTTTTGAAGTACGTACTAATAATTTGCTAATATTTAAGTTGCAGGATTTCAGAGATTTGCGAAAGTGACGTGACGGAAATGCATATCTACATACATACATAAATATGTAAATTTACATGTATGCATTTTTGATGTACTGAAGGGCGGTCGTTGACGTCAATGCAGCCGGAGGAATCTTAAGTAACGCTCAAGATATGATGAAATATATGAAATTTCACTTAAACGCTGGGAAAGTGGGAGAGGACCAATTTGTCCCAGAGGTACATACACGAAAGTAGCAAATTAGCCATAGCAAATGCATGAAAAAAGTGCATTTTGCCAAACTAATTCTTTCATGGTATTATTTAAATATGTACATATTTTAATTTCGTTAAATAATAATAACGGCAGTCAGTAATGGCTTGGCTTACGACGCCGTCAAATCTTAATTTCGGTGGCGTTCTGAAAAATCCGAGTGGAAAAATTGACATGGATGTGGCGTCAGGTCTCTGCCTTAACGTGGGAATTTATGATGGTGGGTTTGCTTGAATACACTTATGTTTTGTTTTTTCTACACTCATGTAAGTTTTTGCTCGTAAGGTTTTAGACGCGTGGGTCATGGAGGATATCTCCCACCGTACGAGAGCTTTATAAATGTGTACCCTGACCTAAACCTTGGAGTGTTCATAACGATTAATGGACCTGGACCGACGGTTTACTCAGCAATGCCAGTAAACACAGTAGTCCATGGAACAATTTTCGACATATTGCAAGGTCGACTACTTACAGATATATTTATATTTTTGCATTTTTACTCGAAAATATTGAGGGTATTCATTGATTAATTGATTGATGGATGCTTTATTCAGGTGTCTAACAAGTTCACAGTTACATACCATGCTCATTCCTTAGTGTACAGATATTCTAATCGTAAAATAAGTTACGACGGTTCTCAGATTTTGTAAGCGTCGTAAGATTTTGTCATCAAAAATTACAAAGCTTTCGAATTTTACCAAGTTTGACCCCTCGTTTTTTTCTAAAACAAATCTACCATATTCACGCTACAATGACAATTCTAAATTGTCATTTTTGAATTTTTCTTAAATGTTCGGTAATTTGTTTAAATGTGTTTTTAATTGCTTAATATGTGCGCGTTTAGGTCGCCGCAAGATCACGCCCACTACTCGACACCTTATTCCTCAGAGAAATCAAAATTCGAAACCCCATCTGGCTCCGGCTTCCTTTGTAACAATTGAACCTGACGAAGCCGTGGGAACATTTGGCAGTGGGCTAAACGGTACATAAGCTCCTTAAATTCGTTAACTTACATGCACATTTAAATTAAATGCAAAATTACTTCTTTACGTAACTTTCAGGCGAAATGAGCATCACAATGCGGACAAATCCTGATGGGATTGACCAGTTGTACTTCGAATACGGAGTTTGGGGTCTTGGTTGGCTTGTACAGAGTTCAAATTCGACATTTGACATAGAATGGGACTCTGATTTCTGGATGACGGCATGGTTAAGTCAGCCCGGTCCGGCGAATTATTCCCTTTTTTATAAAGATGTAAATACTGTCGTACTCCTGGAAAATGGGGCTGCAGCCACGACCAATTTCGAAAGAGGGGTTGGAATCGATGACTTACCGGAAATTCCATACGCACCTGATAGTTGCGGACCGGAAGAAATGTAAAGAAATGAAAGAATTTTAATTTTTGACAACAAATTCGGGAATCGGCAATTTAGTGATGGACGAAAATAAAATATTTGATAAGTATGAAAATAAATACACATATATGTGCATACATCCATTACCTACTAGTATATGTATTATATATGTAAGTATGATACTCATTTTCAACATTTATGTAGGTGTGTCTGAAACATAATTAATCACCATATGTATTGACTGGTTCAAAAATATGTTCATATTTATAAATAAGTATGCAATTTTACTTACTGGTATTTTCTTTAAAAAGCTTAAACATGCGGATGTGTTCAGCATAAGGATTTGTGATCAAATGAGACCAGTTTTGAGCTTTGAATGTACTAACAATGCAGGTCTTTCACGCGTAAAAGTCAAATTTGTATGGGATTAATTTTACGTATGTATTTTGTCACCACAAAAAATACGCATAAGCGTATCATACGTGCTACATACATACGTATATAATTTGTATATAAATTGGAGTGCGAGGTGGAAATCTGAAACCGTTTTCCAGCCTCTGGTTGTGAAAATCCTGGAAATTTTCCAACTTTAGCGAAAATTCAAAAATACGTTTGAAAAATTGTAATAATTGTTCAAAAAAGTACATACATTTTCATCCTCAGCCAGGATAGGGTCACTTGACTTTATGTTCTTATCCTTTTTGCCCTTTTCTTCTTGTGCCCTCTTCTCTTGAAACATTTAAATATATTTAAATACAGCTTTAGCTTTACTTTAATTAGCTTTAAATTACCTTTCAAATATTTAATCGGTATGTACACACATGTAGGTGAGTGGACCCCCTCAGTTAGTTTAATAAAAAAATAGTTGGTAGGTAATAATGCCAGATAAAAACTTGGCACCTTACTGTGTTTAATGCGAATCGGTACATGATGTGTATAAAGGATTGATATAAGAATTAACTTGCAAATGAGTCATTGTATGCACACGTGCCACACGCCAAACCGTGATTGATACAGTATTGACGGTCGTCAACCTTCACATGGAGATTTTGAACAGCGTTGGACACGATTTATTTATGTACTTCGCATCTGTAACGGACAATTGCCGAAATTGTAGTGATTTTTGAATACATTTACTAACTTGAATGGCACTATCTACTTGAAGTACCATACATGCATATGTACATATTTATGCAATACCGTGCAGATAGGCTAACGATGAACACATACACACACAGGCGCAGTTTTGTTTATGTATACTTCTTGTACATACATGAGTATGTAAAATTTGTCATGCGAGTGCGAAAAATGTGAATGCATACGAAATGCAATTTTTGAGGATTACTTAGGTTCAGGAAAGCTCGACCTTATCAAATAGAGTAATTAGTCTCATTGTTTCTCAGTCACAATGAACTTGGCTGGATTTATTTTAGCCTCATTTTCCCTCATGGTCCAACTTTATGTGGACAAATACCGGAGAGATGATTTGCAAAGGACGTTACAAGAGCTAGAGGTGACCTGTCTTTGCCACGAATTACAGAGTTTGATTACATAATTGGTGTGTACATTATTTGTTTAATCAGAATCTCCAAACTCCAAGATTGTCGGAGAAATATAGCGTGCTCCTCTTGGAAGAAGGGGGGCCACCCCCGCCGGCCTCGGACCCTCAGTTTTTTCATAATCTAATTGGTTACGATGGTCGTACCAGTATCAATAATTTATTCGTTTCAGTTCCACAATCAAATGCGGGGCTTGAAAATAAAGGAGTAAGTATATGTATTTATGTACATATTAATAAGTTTCTGGTCTGCATGCACATTTAAAGTGCAAATATTTCGCCACAAACAAACCCACAAAATTGGAAAGCTTGACAAACAATATTTCAGGTGCAACTTGCCATGATTCATGAGGCTGGCTATTCCAGTTTTTTTACAAAGTTTTACTTTATTCGAATCATTCAGTTTTTCATAAAACTGCTGGTACATATGTACTACATAATAAAAATTTTGAGCCGTTATTTTCTTCAAAACCTTAATTTTCTTTAAAAGGATTCCTGACCTTGTTGGCTTCAGAGTTTTCAGAAACTTGAATTTCACACATAATTTATATAATTTTTACACCTGCGTCGGTGCACATAAGCATTGTTTGCTGGGACTTTATTTCTCCACATGCCATTCGTATCCTGTGAAACGGAACTGAATATATGCGGAAAATAAAATTATGTAGATTCTGTCTAAATTTATGCATATACTCACAATTATCTAGCGTCACATAACCGCCACAGGAAAAATGTTGGGAGGTTCTGGATCCCATAATGGCAACGTCTATTATCGCGGGTCACCTCGAGACTTTGATAATTACGCAAGACTGACGGGAGACGCGTCATGGGCGTATGAAAATATGCTGCATCACTTCAAACACGTGGAGAGTTTTAGGGGATGGCTTGTCAATGAGGAGGATAGGGCGGGTATGTTATCGAAATTTTGAAAATTTAATACATATGTAGATATGTACGGAAGACATATATGCATTTATGTATGTATGTATGAAGTCATATGATGGTATTTGATTAACCCTGTGACCGCGGAAGCTGTGGGGACATTAACATTGTAGAGTAGAGAATAGGGATGGGTTTATGTATAGAACTTGGGCAGACGATGGGGACATCGAGTAGTGGGGACACTGTCCCCACACTTCCGGGGCCACTGGTGGTTGATTTGATTAGCCAATTTGACAACGAGTGGGATGTAACAAGATGTAATTTTAGTTGAGACGAAACCCTAGATAAGTTTAAACTATGTATACCTGAATAGTGGAGTTATTGGCAGATCAAAAAAACTTGACTGACATTCCTCACTAAATCCTCACTCAAAAGAAAGAAGGCTGAAATTGGAATCAATCTTGTTATATAAATTCTCTAAAAATGTCACTTCCTTTGAATGACGAAAATGTTCTTGTTTTTATCCCAAATTTCATATTTCCACAAAGTATAAAGTGTAAATTTTCGATTTAAGAAAATTCAATCGAAATCTGCTTGATGTACATATGTCCTACATATTTAGATATGTATGCTCTATAATCCTAACTTAGGATTATAACTTACGATTACGACTTAGGGTTCCTAAGTCCATTGAAAATTGAAGTTGTGGACACCCAAACGATAGCTCAACTAGACTTTGATGTTTTCAAAAATCGAAAAATTACTTTACTTGATGGATATATGTATGGTTCAAAAATAATATTGCCGTTATTCAATTATGTAAAAGCAGGTGACATTTTTTGATAATTTTGTTAATATGATTCTAACGGCTAGTTATTATTTTTGGGCGAGGATTTCGTGGGGGTGGTAGGAGCGGCATGTCAGTCAATTTGTTTAGTTTTGCCTGGGTATACAATCCCGGTAGATGATGTACATACGTTTGTATTTACATAGATTGCTATGGAACGTCTGGACCCATTATTGTGACCACTGACACGCCACCAGTGCTATCAGCATGGTTTGAAGCTGGGAATGAACTAGGCTACAAAATTCGAGATGCCAACGCTTACCAAGAAGAATGTAGGTACATACATGTAGATATGTACTTTACTCATAAACATAAATAGATGATCTGAAAATTTAAAATTTTCCTTGTAGCATTTGTCCCTATGGTGATGTCCTTGTGGGACGGGGTTTGACAAAGTACGTATACCGGGTATGTCAAACCTATCATTTCCCGACCAAGCTTGAGAGTTTTAACGTATTCCAGAGTTGATAAGGTTAGAGTTGAAAGTATTACAGTCATTTAACTTACAATGGAACCTCTTTTCAAGCTACACCGGGAGTATTTGGCGAGCCATATGAAAAAATCAAGCCAAAAATTAAGGATCATGTGGTGCTTATCATTCCGTTGAATGGCCCATTTGAAGAAAATATTGGGGAAAAGTTCAATTTTTTAGTAAATTTTCTCTCCCTTTCCCTTCACGAGGCGAAAACCAAGGCGCTCGTGGGTACTTTGACCCATAATATTTTTCCCCAAAAAGGTCATTCGACGAATGATAAGAGCCATGTGATTCTTAATTTTTCGCTTGATTTTTTTTGTTATAACTCGTTACACAATCCCGGCGTAGCATGAAAAAAGGTTGAATTGTTGGTCACTAAAAATATGTGTAAGTGACAATTATACAGATTTTAATAGATGAGAAAAAATCAGCTTATGGGGTGGCCTATAAGAGACACGGGATTCCTCAGATCGCACACGCTAGACGAGAAGTTATCCTTTCGTGTGATACATTGTCTTCCCCGATGCTTCTAATTCGGTCAGGCATTGGACCGAAAGCCAGGCTAGAAAAGGCTGAAGTAATCTCTAACGAAAAACAATGGGGGTATTCATTACGAGTTCAGATGATTCGTTACGAGTTAGCATAATTTAGAAAAAATACAAACTGAATGCATACTAAAATATTGCATCAGTGTTGCACAAGTCTGCAATTTAATTTTCAAGCCCAATTATTTTGCGAATTTTGACAGTATATATTTCGCTAAGGTTGCTAACGATGCGAAATTTTGAACCCGTAATGAATACCACCAACGTGTCCTGGGTGATGATAATTATTTATAGGGATGGAAATATATTGTCCGTCGTACATCATAAAATACCCAAGTTGTGTTCCATAAAAATCTTTAGATACCCGTAAAATCTCCGCTACCCGGTGTCGGATCAAACCTTAGAGATCACGTCGCCGTTCTACTGCAGTTTACCGCATCCAACCCAAATTCGACTTTGTCCCCCGTCCTACGTGACGACGAGGTGGAGACGGAGTTTCTGAAATTTCAAGGCAATCCGAGGTCCGGTTATTTGGCCAGGATGACCGAAGGTCCGCAAGCCTTCATAGTTTCGTCTCAAGCCAAAGCAGCCGGTGAAGGAGACTGGCCTGACTTGCAGCTTGGATTAGTGCAAGATCCAGTGAATTTATTCGCTACAAAATTTGCCGTTATCCTGGCCCGTCCAGAATCCGTGGGGGAAGTGGGTTTCAATATTAGTGCCTATAGAAGAAATGAATTGGATGCTAATGATGTCTCATTGGCCGTGTTGGACTACAAATACTTGACAAATCCTAGGGATGAGTCCGCTTTGTTGGAAGGTGAACCATAAAAGTTTAACAGGGGGCAATACTTGTGTTTCTAATTGGCTTTTAAATTCTTTAAGCTATAATGCACGAGTTTGGCGTTACTATAAGTTACTAACAATCGAGGGCTTCCAGCGTATGCTCTCCGACTTTGACCAAATTAGTGTCAATCGATAGTAAATTTAGTTAGTATGACATTTACATAAGACACTATCTGCCAATACGCAGGTTTGCCAGAGATGCATATTTGCATTAAGCCATAAAGTTGACAAATTTTACAGCTTCTAAATTTATTTCGCGTTTTTTTCTCTTCGGATGCAAATATCTCTGCCAAACCTTCGCATTGGCAGATCGTGTCGATTGCAATTTGCATATTATATTAATTAAATTTGCTAACTTAACTAGTTTCGTCAAACCCCGAGAGCATACGTTTGTAGTCCTCCATTGTAAGATTCCGAAAATGATGCATCTTTGAAAAAAATATATTTTTGAAATTTAACTTCGGCAAATATTGTAGGGATCTCGATAGCTTTTGGAATCATGGAGGGCACGTCACCATTTCAAGCGATGGGGGTAAAGTACACCGGAGAGACACCGGAAGCTTGTGTTAACTTTCCACAAAATTCTGTTCACTTTTGGCGATGTTACATAAAGCAAGTCTCCAGAGGATGGTTGCATCCAGTAGGGAGTTGCAAAATGGGACATGATTCGGATCCCATGGCAGTGGTAGATAGTAAATCAAGGTACATTTGTAAATTTCTGTGCATTAATTATGCGATTGATTCTTGATAATTTTGACTCCAAGAACTTCTAAATGCAAATACTACACGGTATTACTTATCAAAACCACTTTGGTGGAGCCATATATGAATACCACTTGATATTATTTTAATACCGGATTTGTAACAGGATATTATTTACGACTGTCACAATTGTAAAATATTTCCAAGTCTCCAAGTTACACCAGACCTTATTCTCATTATACAGGGTTCGTGGCATTCAAAATTTGCGTGTCGTCGATGCTAGCATATTACCAAAGTTACCAAACACAAATATCAGCCCAGCTGTAATCGTGTTGGCAGAGAAATTCGTTTCTGAACTACTATCTGGCAAAGGATGAGCTGAATAGTATATAATTGTAACAAATTTATGTAGACTAGAGGAAGATTTTTGTAACAAATTCAAATAGAACAAAGTGATTTATATTTATTTTTGCATTTTCCCCTGTGAAAATATTAAATTCTTTATTATGTAATATATGAAATTCCAAATAAATAAATTCTGTGAATTTGGTGTCTTTTGATGCATATAGGATTTATTGCAAAATCGGAATGCGATGCATCCCGATAATAATTCATGCACTCTTCAGATTCATGAACAAAGATCTGTCTTCAAACACCGCGAGCCAAAAACTCAAAAATCCACACCTGATAAAAACATAACATTTCATAATACGACAAAATATATCTTGGAATAATCAATAATAATAATAATAATAATAATATCTTGGAATATCTTGCTCTCTAACAAAGCTACATTTCTTATCGTGTGACATTTCATGTCTTTTTTCTTCTCCAACAAACAATTATTAAAATATGTTTAACTTTTAAATTCTAACTAATTGTCGCCTTACTACGTAAAATTGGGTGCGATGGATTCGACCTGTTTCTTCTGTCACTTGACGTACTACTCGACCCTGACAAAAGAGGCGAGGAAGACGATTAACAAGTTGTTTTTGACTTATCTCGAGGTCATCAATTTGTCCACGGTCGAAATCCAGGACGCCGTTAACCTCGGCAAAGTCCCCTTTCACGCTTGTCCCCCCTGCGTCACCACGCTCCAAAATATCTCCACCCACATTCTCCAACTCGAAGAGGAAATAAAGAAAATTTGCACAATCATTTCGCAACATTGTGGAGACGGTGAGGTAGTCGGTCGACTTGCAGAATTGAGGAAGCAAATCATCTCAAGTGAGTGAATTGTACAAAAAAGTACAAATTTTCAGGTTGAAATTGTCCTGGTTGCTACATTTTTTAATAAGTTTGCGGCATATGAGATTGAAATTACGTGACATATTTAAATAAATATTGAATAATGCTAGCAACATTTCACTTTTACGCAATTTTGCAGGCTTTGTCCACCCAATTATGAATGATAACAAATTATGTATTTCAGGATCCAGACCAAACGTGCAGCTCAATTTAGAGAATGTGATTGCCCCCGTTGACCCTGAACCATTGAAGCTGGAGAATTACCCTGAAATTAAGCTGGAAAATGACGTTGAAATTAAGCTAGAGAATGACGTTGAAGTGAAGCTGGAAACTGACCCCGGCGAAGAATCTGACGTTGATCTCGACGACTTCATGATCCATCCAGATAATGATAATGACGACATGGATACTTTCGAAGATCCTTTGTCCGTCCCGGCAGTAGTAATTTGAATTTTTCAATTGCATATAAGTACACTATGGATTTTTGCTAACTTGCTTACAAAGTAAAAAAAGTTTCAATATTACTGAAATTGCAAATCGTCTCCTCACAGACACCGCCGTCTCCGCCGTATAAACGTGTCGGCCGCCCGCCGAAAAAAAATTCCTACCCTCCTGGATGGAAGAAGCCGTTCCGTGGCGTTGAGGTCACCCGCGTGGATCACAAACAATCCCTGAGTTTCCAGTGTGGAGAATGCGACTTTAATCACAGATTTTGGAAGCATATGAGGTGCCACATATTAGAAAAACATCAACCCGGTAGAGAAAATATAATTTAGTCTCGCAAATTTGTAATTAAGTCAAGGTTAACAATTATATGGATTTAGTGGCCGCTGAAGCATGGGGACAACGTTCCCGAGTTATTCAATGTCCCCATCATCTCCCCATGTTTATTAAAATCCGTCCCTTCCAGTTAATGTCCGCATTTGTCCCCACAGCTTCCGCGACCACTGGTCCCTCCCCCCTTGTAACGGGTTACATCCCCTTTTTAACATGGGGCGCAAGTGGATGGGTGCTGCTTTATGAACCTTCCCGAATCATTGATTGCAAAAATGGTACCTACGTATTAATTAGAATTTGGACAGATTCGATTATAATCCGCTCAATCGTTAACCTCTTGACTCCCGACATGACTTAATATTATAAAGTTACACAGTTTCCTAATGTGATCAAATAACACGTATTTTTTTAGTGTTAGAGGCTTTCAACTTCAAATGCTCCCATCCCTCATGTGGCGTCTTATTTGCGACGCAGGAACTTCTCTCAAGCCATATCACGCTCAAGCACACGATCCATTCTTGCGGAAATTGTGATTTTACTTGCAATTTACCCAGCCACCTTCTCCGACACATCAGCGAGGCCCACCCCGAACTTCCAGACCCCTTAAAGTGTCCCACGTGTGTAAAGGTCCTCTCATCCCAATTGCAGTTCGACGCACATGTCACAAGGTGTAAGGACGAAACAAAGCCTCAGCGACCCACCAGCGTGCAAACGTCCAGCACAACGTGGACCTATTTAGACGTCGCAATGTCCAAGGTTGGCGACAAGGTCCTCTGCAGCCTGTGCGATTACACAAATCCTAAAAAGTTCCAGGTCATGCAGCACATTCGGGCCGTTCATAAAAGTAAATCGGTTAATTTCCGTAGTTAGTTTGTACTCTAGAAAAGTCCTTAAAGATTGGAGCAAATCTTTAAAACGTGTAATATAAAATTTTCTGAAACGGCGATAGTTTCGATTTTTCAAGTAATTTAAGCAAGTCGATTGACATTAATAATATTGTTGTACCTCTTTTACATAGAACATTTGCCGTTCAGATGTCCCAGCTTCGCGTGCAGCTGGCCCTTCGCCAACCAATCCCAGCTCGACGAACACCTCGCCAGCACGGGACACGGCCCCCAAGTCTGCGACGTTTGTGGCAAAGTCGCCAAGTCAAAGGACTCCCTGCAGCAACATGTCAAAACTGCCCATAAAAAACAGGATCGCTTCATCTGCACGACATGTGGGAAGGTGGGTTCCCTCAAGGTTGTATATTTATAAATATATTGAGGGTATTCGTTATTTCGAAGATGTGTTGCGAAGCGACGTTTTTAAATGACATGAATACTTGAATACCCACATTATTTAATTTCTTGCCACTTAAAATCCTACTTTCGACGGCACAATATGCTAATTTGCATGCCACAAACCTGAAGAATATTCAAATTATCTTCCGCAGGGTTTTCCCTACCTGTCTGGCTGTAAGGTGCATGAATCCACGTGTACCCCCGCAAACCACAAGCCAAAGAAACTCAACGCGGAAGAAAAGGCTATACTCGCTGCAGGCCGGAAATCAATTTTGGAACAAGAAATCATTTCAAATTCCTGTAAACACTGTGCCAAGAGAATATTCGGTTCTTACGAGTCCCTCTCATTCCACGAGGAGAAATGTCGCGTCGGATCACGTACAGATGTTCAAGAAGGAGAGGAAGTTATCAGGAGAGGTGTTCGTCTAATCGATGACTCTGTTGAGCTTTCACTGGTCAAGGTCAAGGAGCCTCACGACATAAACCTGCACAAGTGCTGGGGGTGCAATCAGACCTTTCATCATAAACCGCCTGCTCTGGCGCATATCCGTGCTGCGCGCCATGGCGACAATTACATAACTGCAACTTTGTAAAAAAAACTGTATATTACCAAAATTACCAAACACAAATATTCACCCATCTGTTATCGTGGTGGCGCAGAAATTCGCATCTAAACTAATATCCGGATACAAATGATAAGAATAGTACAACAAATTTATGTATACAGAAGCAGGCCAATTTTTGCAACAAACCCAAACAGAACGATTTCTTTTTTACAAGTTTTCGCCATGAAAATATTTAATTGTTTATTTATTTTTGAAATTCTAAGTAAATCAATTCTGTGAATTTTAGTGTTTCTTGATTCATAACTAAATTATTTATTTATTGTACTAAAAAAAGTAGAAATCGGTCGATGAATAAATAATTCTGCATACTCATGAACAAAGATCTGTGTTGGATTTAGCCATAAATCTCCATATTTAATATGATATTTAGTTTCATGTATGTATTTTGGAAAATGAGTAATTTTACATGGAAAAAGTGAGACTCCGAGCGGGCGTCTCAAATTGGTAAAAAAGGAGCGTTTTTTGTGTGAATGCGCAGTTGAGTTGACGAAGGACAAAGAACTGGTCGTGTCATTCACAGTTTAGAGAGAATTAATATATTTTTAGTTTGAAATTATTCTCTAATTAACTGCTTTTGTGTAAATAAATTGGTGTGTAAAGAAGAGTAAAGCCAAAGAGTATCTCTTTCTCAGTTTATTTTGCATTCAAGTATAGTTTTTTGACCAACGGGTCTTGTTTTTAAGACCAGACACTTAAGCTCTACGGTTCTCAATCAGAGTTACGCTTGGGACGGGTAGTCGCAAGGACCGAGCTCAAACAATCTGTCTTCATTTCATGCAATAAGAGGCCGTGCATATGTTACGTCCCAATTTGTAAATTCCCTGAAAAACAAGTTGCTGGATAAAAATATTAAATTTACGACAAATTTTTTCCTCATATTTATTAACAATTTTCAAGACCAGAATGTCCCCATCGTGCGTGGACGACCCCAGACAAAAACACCGCGAGCCTAAAATTACAAAATCCACACCTGATCTAATACCAACACATCTCACCGTACTTTTTTTTCTTCTTCAACAGAATTTGCAAATTTGTAATTATTAAACTGTATTTAATTTGTAATTTCTGATTAATTATTTCCTACACTTTGGTACGATGGAGTCGACCTGTTTCTTCTGTCACTTGACGTATTGCTCGACCCTGACGCTAGAAGCGAAGAAGAAGATGAACAAGTTGTTTTTGACTTATCTCGAGGCCATTAATTTGTCCACGGTCGAAATCCAGGATGCCGTCAACCTCGCCAAAGTCCCCTTTCACGCCTGTCCCCCCTGCCTCACCACGCTCCAAAAAATCTCCTCTTACATTCTCCAGCTGGAAGAAGAAATGAAGAAAATCTGCATAACCATTTCGCAACATTGTGGAGATGGGGGACTGGTCGGTCGACTTGCAGAATTAAGGGGGCACGTCATGGCAAGTGAGTGAATTATTATTATAAACCCGTGCAAATTTTTAGGTGAAAATCGAAGCAAGTTTGCAAAATAGGAGACCGAAATTAAGGGCCCGGGGGAAGATTTACTTGATTTTATGTTAGCAACAATAATTGCCAGGGCCCCAAGATTATTATCGCTCTGTTAGGTTACGACCACAATTAATTGACACCGTTTCTATGGGACACTCACGTTCAAAAGCTTTGGTTTTGTCACTGCTTTTGAAAAAGTTTCCCTCAAGTCCCTCAAGTTTTTGAAAAAAGTTGTTTCTTTTGTTCCATGGATACTCAAAATGCAATTCCTGCCATTAATTTGGCAATTCTAAGCCAATTTGTCCTCACTTTACGACCAAATACCTCCACTGCACAAGAGGGCAGATCGTCAAAACAAACTCAAGTAAAATCTAAAGATATGATTAACGCATTAAACATAATTTAAAAAATCTGCCCTCTTGTGCATTGCTGAATTTTATCGTCAAAGTTGACGTGATTTCTAAGCAACTTCCCCCAGGCCCTTAAGTGCATATTTAAATATGTATAGCGCTGGCAAAATTTCACTAATTTTTAGCAGGATTTGCCAATTATGAATGATGAAAAATTATAATGTGTTACAGGATCGAGACCAAAAGTGGAGCTGAATTTGAAAGGTGTGACCTCTACTTATCAACCGTCACCGGTACTGTTCACTGACCCAGATCCAAGTAAACTTCCCCCAGCCCAACGTAGAATTCTACCCGCTCCACAAATAATTCAACCCGCTCCACAAATAATTCAACCCGCTCAACGTTTAATTCACCCAGCTCAACGTAGAATTCTGCCAGCTCCAAGTATAATTGACCCCGCTACAAAAATAATTTCCCCCGCTCCACAAGTAATTCCCCCCGCTCCACAAATAATTCAACCCGCTCAACGTTTAATTCAACCCGCTCCACGTTTAATTCACCCTGTTGACCCTAAACCATCCGAGATTATGACTGTCCTCGTTGATCCTAAACCATTGAAGTTGGAAAATGACGCTGTAATTAAGCTGGAAAATGACGCTGAAATTAAGCTAGAAAATGACTATGAATTGGAATTGGAAACTGACCTTGAATTGAAGCTGGAAACTGACCCCGCGAAAGAAGCCGAAGTTGACCTCGACGACTTCATGATCAATCCAGATGGCAATGACGACATGGACGTAGATCTTTCCGAAGATCCTTTGTCCGTTTCGACAGAAGTAATTCGAATTTTTTAATTGCGTTGGCTCGAATTTTTTTAGCTACAAAATGTAAAAACACACGGACTTATTTTTTAAATATGACCACAAATACTGCGGATTTCAACGAAATTGCTTATCTACAAAATGTATAAGTAAAACAAGTTTCAAGTTTCTTACTGAAATTTTAAATCTCCTCACAGGCACCTCCGCCTCCGCCGAAACGACGTCTCGGCCGCCCGTTGAAATATAATCCCTACCCTCCAGGATGGAGAAAGACGTTCGGCGGGGTTGATGTCACCCGCGTGGATCACCGATACACGAGCGGCTTCCAGTGTGGAAGATGCAAGTTTAAGCACCAAATTTGGAAGCATATGAAGAACCACATCTTACAAAAACATGGATCTGGTAGGAAATATGATTTAGTCTCGCTAATTAATAGCGCTAGGCAAGGTTAACGATTGTGTGTTATAATCGGTTATGATTATAAACCAAAACTGTGCGATTAATCTCGAAACAATTAGTAATTAGGACTAGATTTTACTTTCTTTCAGGAACGAAAATACGCAAGTCAATTGCAGTTTTAGGCTTTCGTTTCTCTTCAAAAGTTTCTTGGAAAATGCGACAATAATCGAGTATTGATCGTGTATTTTGACCATCATTCTTAAAAAAAGATAATCCAATGGCCAATGGAGAATTTGGACCTGATTATAATCCACATAATTGCTAACCTTGACTAAATATCGCAAATATCACCAAGTTTACACAATTTAATTTTTTTTAGTTTTAGAGGCTTTCAAGTTCAAATGCTCCTCATGTGGCGTCTTATATGCGACGGAAGAACTTCTCTCAACCCATATCACATACAAGCACACGGTCCACTCTTGCGGAAATTGTGATTTTACTTGCACGTTCCTCAGCCAACTTGACCGCCACATTAGCGAGACCCACCCAGAACGTTTAAAGTGTCCCAAGTGTGGGAAAATCGTCTCGTCCCTATCGCAGTTTGACATGCATGTTGAAAACTGTCGGGTTGGTGTCGAAATGGACGATACAAAGTTTCTGCGACCTACCAGCGTGCAAACGTCCGCCACAACGTGGACGTATCTCGACGTCGACATGTCCCAGGTTGACGACAAGATCCTCTGCAGCCAGTGCGATTTCTCATATCCTAAAAAGTATCATGTCATGAAGCACATTCGCGCTACTCATACAAGTAATGGGGATAATCTTATTGTTAGTTTGTACTGTGAGAGAGATAAAAGTATTGAAATATGAGAGAAAATTGTAAAAACATATTTTCTGAGGTCCTGTTAATTTCCACTTTTAAAGTGTCTTAGGTAAATTAATGATATCATTTTACCTCTTGTAGAACACCTGCCGTTCAGATGTCCCAACACCGTGTGCGGCTGGCCCTTCGCGAACCAAACTTTGCTCGACGAACACCTCGCCAGCACGGGACACGGCCCCCAAGTCTGCGACATTTGTGGGAAAGTAGTCATCTCCAAACACACCCTGCAGAATCATGTCAGACTTGTCCATGAGAAACAGGATCGCTTCATCTGCACGACATGTGGAAAGGTGGGCTTCCTCAAAATTAAGATTGGTGTATAATTCAGTACCGAACTTTTACAAAATTCACAAATACTCCCAAAGAAAATGACCTTACAAAATTTTTATAACTTGCATACTCAGATCGAGAGAGTCTTTTCATTTGGTAACAAAGTTACCAAGGACTGCGTGAATTACCTCAATATCATGGCTATGGGCTGTCATATCAAAAACTATTTGGAGTAGAAATTGAGCTGACAAAATCGTAGAATTATCCAATTTTTTAATAGTTCCTTCCCACGTAAACTTTCTAGATACTTTTTTTGATGGTACAATATGCTAAATTTGAAATTTTCATGCCAAATGAATGTACACCGCTTATGCTAAATCCATAATTATTCACTTCCGAAGGGTTTTCACCAACTGTCTTCCTGCACCTATCATGAATCCAGGTGTCCCGCCGCAAATGGCGGGAAGGCAAGGAAACTCAACGCGGAAGAAAAGGCTATACTCGCCGAGGCCCGGAAGTCAATTTTGGAGCAAGAAATAATTTCAAATTCCTGTAAACACTGTGCCAAGAGAATATTTGGTTCTTTAGCGTCATTCTCATTCCACGAGGATAAATGTCGCGTCGGATCACGTACAGATGTTCAAGAAGGAGAAGAAGTTATCCGGAGAGGCGTTCGTCTAATCGACGACTCTGTCGAGCTTTCACTGGTCAAGGTCAAGGAGCCCTACGACATAAACCTGCACAAGTGCTGGGGGTGCAATCAGACCTTTCATCACAGACAACTTGCTCTGGCGCATATCCGTGCTGCGCGTCATGGTATATACAAAAATAAAGCCAACTTTGTAATGAACTGTGTAATTTTCATTTAGTAAAATTGTTATTAGTGGCAACTAATTTCAATCAACCCGTCTACCTAAATTCTGAATTCTGATTGGGCTGAATTTGATATCAACATTTTGTTAGAATTTTGAAAAATAAAGTTTACACAGTTTCATATAATTCTTTGCGGTAAACGTTCATTATAACATTGTTTAAACTTTAAATTGAACTGCTCTTAATTTTTTCAGGACACTCTGATGCTGCTCCGTCCGAATCAGAAAAGTAGCTTCTACGCAAATTTTCTTAAATAATTGTTAAATTCTTAAGCGTACAAAACTGATCTCAGTTTGCTAATTTAGGAATTAATAATTTTATTAATTTTATTATTTCCAATGTACTTTACCCTACTTTTATATTTTCGCAGGATCCGAAATGTAAAAATTAGTTTATATATTTAGGAATATTTACATGTTCGTTATTTACAGCAGTAAATTCTTCTCAGGTCGATAATTGACTTTGTAAAACTGATCGGTAGTTTTTACTATATTAAAACGTTTCATATTTCTCCAATGCACTCATAATTTAAAATAATAATTTATATTTATTCCACATTTGAGCTTGATGATAAATACACTTAAATTGGAAAACTGTTGCTGAATTTCATACTTTTAAGTAATCGCAGTTTTTATTAATTAGGAGAATTAGTATACATAAATATGTATCCTGACATGCAAATTTTAGAAGAAGCCATTTATGCAGGGTTTTGTAACATTGTAAAGTCAGTAAATTCCGGAAACTTAAAATCTTCTACAAAATTGGACTGGGTGAATAGCTTCATAGTTTCGTTCCCCCGAAATGTGACCCCAACTGATCTCCCGGAATTAACGAAAGGAGAAACTTTTTCCAGACGGCCTTATTCGTTCCGAATACGTGAAGAGAATCTCGCATAGCAGAACTCATCACTGGACGAACCAGATTGAGCACGATTTCAAACGCGGCTGGGGCTGGATAAATAAATTCGGAAACTTATTTTTTGTAATTTAAAAAAATCTTTAAAGGTCTCAACCATACTATTAATGATAATTATCTTATCCGCCCCGAACGGGTAGTAGGCCTCGTGCGCCGTGATGAAACGGAGGTAAACGGGAAGACCTGCAATTATTGGCGTGCAAAATTTTAGTTGGCAATTTTTTTGCAAAAAAAAATACTTACATTGTAAACAACCGTGCTGTACAAGATTAAAGCTATCCATGTTCAGGACCACTTGCCACTGGGTAACGTTTTGGCCATTTTCTTGACTTTTGCGAACACGTGTCGCCCCAGACTCAACGGCACGAAACATGTATCGCACCAAATTGTCGGCATCTCCGCTAACGACGGCATTCCGAACGTCCCACTCTGATACGTCGGCAGCAATTACTTAACATTTTTTATTTACAGTTAGTATGCATGTAGTTTTGTAAAAAAACAATTTAAAAAATAGTTCACGTGTGGGTGGAACATATGCATGTTTTTATTTAAACACCTGGCCTTCCAGCGTAGTCGGTCCCGGTATCGTCGAAATAAAAATTATCTTGAAAATTAGTCCAGTCGTCGTCGAGGATGGAGTCAATTTTATTTTCTTCTCGCCATTTCAGATTCTGTGGCAATTACGGTATCGAACTTAATTATGTATGCGCATATCATATTATATATATTTCACGCTAAATAATAAGGCAGACATTGGTACTTGTAAAATCCATAAGTTTTATAAAATCATTTTACGAAATTTTACAAAATAAAAAAGAAGCCCTTAATCTGAGCAAGCTAATATTTTCCTTTGGAAATATTTGCAAGATTTTGCAAAACTTTTTAAATGAGTTTAACGAATTATGGATTTCATAATATTGCAAAACACTACATGAATTGTTACATATAAAGAAATATGAAAGAAAATCAATCTCATTCTAAGTAGTTCGCGTACCGCTTTAAATGCTGTTTCGGCTTGTTGAATGTTCAAATTGTGTCCTGTGATGCGATAAATATTTAAGAGAAGAAAATCACATCATAAAATTTTCTATCCTAAAAATTCGATTTGCATGGAATTTACATTTGTTTGTATACCTCGCAACCATCGGATCAATGCGAGATCAGATTTTTGCCAATCCTGTGACGGGATTTGCTTCACCGTAATTTTGAACTTCACAAATAAATTTCAGAGTAATAACTGTAATGCGTATAAAATTTTGATAAAATACTTGAATAAATACAAACCTTTTCCAATTTTTGTTTCTCGAGGGACGATAACCGCAATTCTTTTTCTATTTCTATCCCCTCCACGTGCACGTCAATTACAACAAATAGCATGCAAGTAATTAGGGCTGAGGATAACTTGTAGAAATCCATTTTAATGAAGGTGGAACAGTAATTAATTGTATGTATGGTTTGTCCCAAAAATGTTGAGGATGAAAACAGACCGGATTATGTATATATTAGCGAGGGGAATTCCTCAGGGGAAATATGTATGTATCTAATTTGCACAAATATTTAATGAAATTGTGTTGGTATTTGGTATATTTAGAAAAAATTGGCACGTTAACTATCGTCAAACGTCGCATTACGTAAGGTCACTTTATGAAAAGTTGAAGGTGTGATGTACCTGACAAGATCACAAATTTGACGTGAATATCATCTTGAGGTTACCAGGTGCATGCGTGTGCATGAAAATACATATGTAATAAATATTTATGGAGTTTAATTACTTGGAAAATACAGAAAAGTTGTGTGTGTGTGGCAGATACTTACATAGATAACTCTAATTCTAAGATACAGGTATGCATATGTATACAAGTACATATTGTATGCACATTGTACATATGTATGTATGATGGTTATAGTATGAAAAGCCCTGTGATCACCGATTAAATGAAGAACATATGTACATATGTACCTTATATACAAAATTGTGAAATATGTACATACATACTATACGTACATAACATACAGGATCTATGACTGGAACTAACAATGGACTTTTTTGCAACAACAATACGAAGTGGTTAGTATCGATCTATTTATCTACATGCATCTTCATATTCATACACCCTTAGGATGGATTAGGCCGAAAACCATCCTGTTGATGGCTTATTAATGAATTTCCTTCAACTTTGAACCTTTGTTTCTCATAAAGTACTCGGAATTTTTAAAACCATTATTATTATTCCCTGTTGAAGGCAAGTTAATGGATGTTCATAAATATGGGCCTGCTTATTATAAATTATAAATGACAATTTGGATATCTTTTGCAAAAATTGTATATGCATTTATCAATGTACCACGTCCACGTGCAAAAAGAATCTCACATTTGCATAACTGGAATGTATAAAATAATTATGTCAAGCAACCCTCCTGATTTGCCAAGCAATAAATAAATGTACATATGTCGCCAAATATCAAATATGTATGTAAATGTATATACATATATGTACTTATAAATATACATGCGTTATATGTGTGTGTGGCATGTTGCATTTACACGTGTTGGGAATAAATTCGCAAATTTTCCCGTATATATTCAGCACACGTAAAATTTTGGATTTTTGTAAACAACTTCTTACCCCTTGGCTGGTCGTCTGGTACAAAGTTTTATAAAAATTTACGGAAAATTTAAAATAAAAATGGAAATGTGCATTTATTTTGTATTAATTTGAAAATAAATGCACATGCACATTTCCATTTTCAGTAGTTTCGTATATATATATAATTCATATACTTTAAACAACTTTCACCCTCAAGAATTTACAAGAAATCAGTACACATTTTCATATTTTAGTAATATAATTTTAATTTGCACATAACTAGTTTAAAATTGTGCGAAATTCCGTTCTGAAAAGTGGTTGCCATGGAGAAATCAGATATGCTCTTTCGTACGTACAAGAGCGAGCAGGAAGCCAACATCGCTCAATCAATGCCAGGTTGGCCGAGTGGTCGAAGGCGTTGGACTTAAGTTCCAATCCACGTAAGTGGGCGTGGGTTCGAACCCCACACCTGGCAAATCTTTTGCACCTCTTCAAACCTACTTTTGCACTTTCTTTTTGCACTTTACCATATATGAGCGATCTTGTAAGGATTGCTATTCCATGGCACTTTACACATTAACATACTTTTCAAAATTGTGTACAAATTTACGTTCATACGGGAGAAACAACGTGAATTTGAAAAAAATGCATATATTTTTACGCCAAATATAATTTATTTTTAGGAGCCGTGCAAATTTGGTAATGTTTAGATTTCTTAAATAGTGAGAAATCATAATAGCGATTATGCTAATGAATAATATAACTATGTAAGGGGATGATAAAGAGCAAATACATAATTGAAATTGTGTAGATGTAGTGTGAAAATTTTTCATAATTTTTCATGATGGAATTATTTTATTATAATTGGTTTTCTAATAGTACTTGCTAAATTACGACATTCCTAACAAGTATAATTAAGCTAATGGAAAAATACTAAAAAGTTTTCAGGTCTTGTGCAAATTATTTCCTGTATTTTTCACATGCATGCATTTTTACTGAATTACATATTGTATATAATTTTTGCAAATCTTGATTCAATGACAAAATTTGCAAAAAAATAATGTCCAAACAAATGATGATAGGAATTGGGTCACTCTGCATTCGAAATTATAGGTCATCGTTGTCATAGTGATAATATGTACTATTAATATGTATCATAATATCTAGTTTCAGTTTTGGCTATGGCTTTGATAAAACTACTTTATGCTAAATATTTTAGAAAATTTGTATAAGAAATAAATTTAGTGCGAGCAGCGTAAATTTAATTTTAATTTGTCGATTATTTCTAGTTATCCCCGTTAGTAATTAAAAATCTTTCCCGCACCCATTAGGTAAATATGTGGGTATGATTTGGATATGATTTTAGCGGACAGAATTAAAAAACGCGGTAATTAAGGATTGTCTACATACAAGTATGTACGGATTGCAGGTCAATTTTATTAATAAACGAAGCAAGCCCCAAGCAAAACCTATTCATTACAGACAAAACAATTAGCATAAACTGAGAACATTTGTCAATCAAAACAATTAATAAATTCAATCAAATAAATTATAAATTCAATCAAAAGCTACGATATATTATTTCAACAAGTCCGATACATTAACAATTCAAAGTCCAGTCCAGAGTCGTTACATTAGAGATAGAGTAAATTTATTTGCAGGTCGGCTTGTGATTTTTCCAGTCCAATTTCTGGCACAGCTTGGTACAGTATGACGCTCGTCTGCAGCCCGCACAATACATCAAGTCGCTGGGCTTGTCGGAGCAAAAAAGATCGCGGCCATTGTTTATCGGAGTGGTTGCTAACTGCTCGGGATGTATTTCGTCAAGTTCACCACAGTAGGCGCAGAATATTTTCTTCAAGTATTTTCCGAGCAGACGTTGCAAAACGGGGATGAAACCGTCCGCCGCAGAGGGCTCGAGTGGAGCGTCGATATGCTATTAGTAATATATAATCGTGAACAAAAACCTTACATACAGGGTGGTTTAAATGTCAGGTTACAATGGCAAATTTTTCAATGGGAAAAATTCGCAAATTTCCATTAGTTACGAATTTGGGAGTAAGATTTTTATTAATTTTTATCGAAACTTATGGAACACTGATGTCAAAATTCTTAAAATAATGAATTTCTGAGGCAAAATTTCGGTAACTAATGGAGATTTCCGAATTTTTTCCATTGAAAAATTTGCCGTTGTAACCTGACATTTAAACCGCCCTGTATTTGAATAAGATGCGAATTACTGGCTCACTTGAGCTACAACGAGTCCCGGGAAATTTTCCTTGTACTCGTCCAAAATTCCGTGAATGACGACACTCCCATTTGTCCCTTTGTATCCGAACTGTCGCCCTGTGGGGTCCACGATGTACACAGTTCCGTCCGGTAGTTCCGCCGAGAGGACGGCATGTCGAATAGTCAACTTGTCCCCTGCGTCGCTCATAGTTGTCATTACTTTCCGCGTATCAAACCGGATAAATTCTGGGTCAGGATGGTCCCCTGGCTCAGCACCGAAGTATGTCGCTGGTCCCTCAACGGCGCGGGTAACTTTCTGATTGACAGAGTAAACATTGATTGGAACGACTTCGAAGATTGTGGGTCGCAGAGATGACAGCGGGATCTGTGACATCATACAAAATTATAATAGCTACGAACATTATGTAAATCCTGTTTAGTTAGCTTACTTTGTCGCCCGTGGGAAGTATCCAATTCTTAAAGCCCATTTCTTCCAAAGATGGCACACTCGCCAAAATTCCGGCCACCAAAGCTCCCGTCTTACCAAGAAAGGTTAACCCCCAGTAAACTTCAATATTCTGTTCATCACTCAGCAAGATAGGTTGTGGCGATACAAGGACTCGATTTTGTGCGAGGGACGCATGAAGTTTGTCATTCACCGTCCAAATGTCCATGAAACCACGCAAGTTTCTGATTTCGAAGAAGGGTTTTTCGCCCTCGTCCGGAGGTAGAAGTGGGTCAAGAGCATTGCACGAGGAACCGATACGGAAAGTGTCATCAGTCGTTAGTAGAGTAGCTTTAAGCGGCCTGTGATAGTTATAAAGTTTGCCAATTGTAGTACATAGATTTATTGACAAAATTACATAAAAAAATTGTGTCGAACTCACCAGTGAGTTCCATTTGTAAGCAACACGTTTGATCGAGTACCAGGAAATAGAGGTGCTAAACCCTGCTCCCTGGTGGTGGTTGCCTGGCCATGTATTTTTCTCTCTTTTGCAAGAGAACACTACACAACTCACACTTTGTCAATGTTCCCGGCCACGTAGGAACACAGAATTATTTATTACTGTCTACACAAGCAGCCCATGTTAATTTTACCTTTTCGAAAAATCGCCTGAGGTTTTAAACTTTTTTGTTTGCTCAGGCCCAAAGGCATCGATTGGCTTATCTCACTATAAGCGATTTTTGTCCGTCTTCTCGATAATAGAGTTTTTCAATGCATTTCAAATTTCTAATTTTTTCGAATTTTCGAATTTTAAAAATTTTTTTCTATCAATGAATGATCGATTAATGAAATCCGTAAATGTAACCTACCCCTTTGAATCTATACTTTGGCTACGAAAGCATTTTCAATGCATTTACAAATTTTCTTTTAACTGCTATATCTTTGCGAAAAAAATTAATTTTCAAATTTTGATTTTTATGGTATGTTTTATTTTATATCATGCATCTACTATAAGATTGTGGAAGATATCTCAAATATGGGTGCGACGACGATCGTGTGGGTTCAGATGGAATGAGCCACTGGAACAATGCTTTTGGGAGCGATGAAGGACTGATCATTTGCCTACTTCCTCCTGAACCAGATGAAGATTCCACATCCACCAGAATGTCACCCTTTGACAGGAAAACGGGTATATTTTCCTCCACGTTCAAAATGGTTGGCATATGTTGGCATGCTTGGAGGATGCCGACAGCACGATGAGTGTACTTAACGAGGTCCAAATCTTCCATTTTCTCCTCGTTAGAGGACGATCCTGTCGCCATATCGCCTTTTAGTTTACCTCCGTGTCGACGAACCACCCTGAAACAAAGGAATAATTAATTACTGTCGTGAAGGGTGAATAAAATGATGAAATTTAAGTAATCTGCTGAGCACCACGCCCTCTAAGATAAATTAATAAACCGTTGCAAACGAAATGTAGCAAAGGGGTGAAAACACACGGAATTGTCTTTGTGACACGCCCACATCGTCTTACTGCATTTTCCCGTCATTGTCTCACATTACCCCACGTCTTATTTTGCCCCGTTTTGACACCCCCACCCGCGTACTTCAAACGTACACGACAATACCTTTCAATAGACACCCCACATGACAAAAGTCATTTTTTCGACATTCGACACCTCCCACACGGTCATGGAGTCGTCGCACGTCGAAATGATGGCGATTTCTGAAATTCCCGCAAAAAATACGTCTAAAACGGTGGCAACAAAAAATTCGCCAATTTTCGACTTTGGCGTCGTCTACACGGTCACGGCACGTCAAAACTATGTCCATTTTCGAAATCCCCATCCAAAAATACGTCTAAAACGGTGGAAACTAAAAATTCGACACGTTTGACCGTTGGCGTCATCACCGTGGCGCCGTGACCTAATGACCTACAACGCCCATCTTCGAACTCATCCCGTCCCCAAAAATTAGAAACTCGTTGGCGTAAACCGGATGTCAAAATTCGAATCCGTTCTAAAGTTATCGTGGATACAGACGGACGGACAGACGGACAGACGGACAGACGGACGGACAAGACATTTCCATAAAGGGGTTTTCACCCCTTAATAACCCGGTCCGGATTATTTTCCCACTACGTCTTTCGCGATTTGTTAATGTATGTAGAAGAAAGTTATGGATTTATTTAAAAACGAATTTCAAATTTTACCTGAGGAATTATTACTGGAAAACTTATTAATTTGGCAGACTGGCAAGTGGAAACGATGACTGCGCTGTAGCTCTGACCACCACTAACTGACTTGAATTTAGAGCTAAGTTTCAACGAGGCAAATGCAATATTTTGAGAATGAGAAGTTGCGAACATTTACATTTACATGCAAAACAAAACAAATGGTTTCTGATATTTCCGAAATCAAATTCGGAAAATACTTGGTTTCCTTGTCCCTGAATTATACAATTTCAACGATTTTGAAGGCTTGATCGAAAAATGGTTAAATTATTCTAAGGCGAGACACCAAACGTAACCATGCATCCAAAAACAAAAAAAATAAGTGCATGGTTACGGCGAAGCCATAGTATGCAGTTAAGTGCCCACCTCAAAACAGTCAGACGGAATTGTGAGAGAACCATACGTCGTATAGACATGCGGTTTCGAGTAAATTCTGTGTAGTATTGCGCATAGATCTCTGGGCTTAATCGGTTCATACCTTCATGGTATATTTCTCGTTTTAGTGACTTTTTTTTCTGTATCTCAAAATATTCCGCTGAAAGTGAAAAATCGGCAAAGGGGAATCGAAAGGGCTTAAACAATTATTAAGATCATTCTTTAGGGTCATGAAAATCTGATGCAAAATGACGAAGTTATGGAGGTTTGAAATTTTTTTTAATTCAATTTACACCCATAGCAACTTTAGTAAAGAGATTCTTTATATGCATGTTTTACTAATGTAAGAATATGAATTTAAATTAGAACCATTAGTTTTTATTTTTAAAACATAAATATGCATTTATGATAAAATTTCGTGCAAAAAGTCGGATTGGATGATAATCCCAACCTGACTCGGGCTATATTTAGTCTGCACTGTAGGTTTATAATGACGGAGTTAAAAAATTATTCACTTACAAGCTCCAAAATAAATAAATTTAAAAAATAAAACTAAGGCGAGAGGCGCTATTAAAAACAAGAAACAAGCCCTCCCACCAACACCCCCGTCTCGCCGTGGCCCCATTAATATTTTTATATCTGGGGGGTGTAACCACAATTTATGATACAAACCTTTAACTACTAATATAAACTACTTTAAATTTATGAATATTACAATTTGATATTGCATTGCACTTCTAAAACCTAATATATGCAGTTGTTGCATTAATTTCAATTTAAATAATAGATACATGGGGCAGCCATGGACATATAACTTATAACTTAAAATTATGACGTATAACTTAACTTATAATTATAAATATACGTCGCCTTATGGCGTTTCTATGACTTATAACTTATAAAATAAGTTATACGTCATAATTTTAAGTTATACAAAGTTTGTAAGTTATATGTCCATGGCTGCCCCATGTATCTATTATTTAAATACTTGCTTAATATTTAACACTACATATTATGTAGTCTAGCATTAATCAACAGAGTCCGGCCAAATATATTCTAAACATTAACGCAAACATTGATTAAAATTTATGCAAAATGTTTAATCAAATCTACAAAATATATATAAAAGCAGTTTTTTAATTTATTTAAAGAAAATCTATCTCAGAACCAAGACCCTAAAGCTTCAAATCAATGGGTATTGTTGTTGAAAAAGTTTAGAGCATATACATACTCAAAACAAAAATTTGTCAAATCAACACCGCCGGTGCCAATATATGACTTAACCGACTTGGTTAAAATTTTGAATCCGAGGTATGATGATTTTGACACCGGTAGTTATAATATTATGACCGGACGGAAAAATTTCATTACCACTCGGAATCACAATTGTAACCAAGGCGGTTAAGTCATATATTGACACCGTTTTGTTTTGAGTGCATACCCGGACTCTGTTCATCAACCGTCGTATAAAAAATGAAATATTCACTTCTTAAAACCAACTATTTTAACGTCGGCAATCATGCAGTTAAATACATTCCAAATCTGCATTCAGAAATTTCAGAATTGAGCTAGCTGCTTTTGTAAACGAGTTAAATAAATAAGCTTTTGTAGTTTGATTTCCGACATTTGTGTCACAATTTTATGACACTATCACGAAAATGACATGCACCCATGTTGGCATATATACCCCATTATACGTGGTTTTTAAATTTTGGTGTTAGAAACGAATTACAAAAATAAAATTGTGGTTACACCCCCCAGATATAAAAATATTAATGGGGCCACGGCGAGACGGGTGTGTTGGTGGGAGGGCTTGTTTCTTGTTTTCAATAGCGCCTCTCGCCTTAGTTTTATTTTTTAAATTTATTTATCTCTCAATAGAAATAGAACAACTGTCCAACATAATTGCATACATAAAGCATGTCGCCTCCCTACCCCTGCATTACGTATTTTATGAACTAAATTGTGAGCGATATTAACGAACCTCATGCATTAATCCCTTCAATGCGAACATAAATTACATAAAGGTCGTCAAATTGAAATCTTTCCGATTGGGGAGAAATGTCATATTTTATTCGCAAAAGTTGAAAGTAACTACAAAAATAATTATTCCCGGATCCATTAATAGCAAGCTATCGACGAAGTGCGGCCATCGCAAATTTGTCGAATGCTTCCCTCCCCAGTAAAGCGACCAAGTCGCTGGCACCACCCAATGAAATTGTATTGACGAGTCGATTCTCCAGGATGAATTTTGTTACTTTCTCTTCCAAATTCTAAAATGATAACAGGTACTTAATTACATATACTTATTTATGGCAACCTATGAAGGGAAATTACAACAGCAAATCATGTACCAAAGCGTTTGCTGAGACGGCATGTTGAAGTAAAAAGAATGCATTTTCTGCGCCGATATTCCGCATCAGAATCCCTTCACATTCACGCCGAATTTTCACTTCGCAATAACAATCCGCCAACTTCATCAGGCCTAAAAAAGTATTTTGCACATTTAATTTCAAAACAATGACGCAATTCAAGCATTGGTAATGTGTAAAATCCGTCGGTCTGCAAAATAAATTTGGAAAAATTATTACAAAATATAAAAAGACGTCCTTGATCTGAGTATGTAAGTTTGTAAAAATTTGTAATCTAATTTTCCTTAGAAATATGTTTATAATTTTGTGAAAGCTTGCAAGTTTACAGAATTTGCGGATTTCGCAATATTACCAAGGACTTCGTGCCCCAGTATTCCAATTAACAATAAATATTTATAAATACCACAAATATTTTCGTACTCCTTCTCCGAGAAAGTCACCTTGTCGTGGTAAATGTGGAACAGTAGAGCTTCAAAAATGTCATACTTCGTGTCCTTGATTTCAATCACGCTACAAAATTTACCCTTAAATTAATAAACTTAAAAAAATAATTACGTATTTCGAAAAGTACTCACGATCCTTTCGTTTCACTCCACTCGCCGCTAAACATTTTTGCGAAATATTCACTTCTGCACGTGAGAATCAGTTTATGCGCGGAAATGATTTTCCCTTGCAAGGAAAATGTAGCATCCATAGTATCCTGTAAAGAATGATAATACAAAACGGTGCCAGTGTTTAAATACCGTATAATCCCACTTAAAAAACTAACCTTACTACTCCATAAATCGTCACCCAACGAGGGTTTCTTGTCTTCTTGGCTTCTCTCCATAATAATAGTTCCGTAACTTTTTTGGCAAATTCGAGCAAAACATTCTTCTATTCGTACTAAAAAATAAGGGACCTCCCGAGTCGGCTGCTTATCCAGATAGCAAGCTAAATAGTTAGACTTAAAATCGACGACACAAACGTCTTCCATCCAACAGGTTCGAATGTCCTGGACGTAGAAATCAACAACTACTGGTTTCGTTGACCAAGTCAGATTCCCTCCAACTGCTGGAGCCCTCCACGAATGAACTTTACCGTCAAAGGTCAAAGCGCAAATAGTATTTTGTGTTGTGGCAATCTGTAGTAAAAGCAAACTAACAATGAGGACGCAAACCATGTTAAACCTAAATTATTTTTTGACCGCCTGTTTTATAACAAACGCTTGAGAATAGTTGAGAAACAAAATTTAGTGTGCCACTGAGCGTTACGGGTGCCGTAAGTTCGGGAAAATTCTCGGTTTTGAGCGGAATCTGGGCCTTACGATATCTTACCTAATCTGACCTACCTCACACTCTGAAAACCGAGCGTTTTCTTCCGAACTTGAGACAATTAAATACCTTCTTCACTGGGATGCCTCTTGTACTCAATTTGTGTCCATCATCTGCACCAAATCCCCATCGAAATACCTGTTAAAAATATTAAAATTTCGTAATTCCGGCGAGGCAGCAGAAGTTTAAGACAATCGGATTCCAATTTCCCTCAAAAATGCCCCCCAAATCCCAAAAGTTGGAAGATCTTTTTTTAGAGGAGAAATTAAACAAAAAGTTGGAGGACCTTTTTTTAACATTACACAATTCATTCTAAAGAAACACCAAAATCAAACCACAATTTTGAATTACATACCTCTCCTCTTTCACTGAGGGCGTAATTCGCCCCAAAATTACACCCCACCGAGACAAGGTCCCCACAATCCCATTCTTCCTTATCAACGAACATTGGCGCCCAAATGGTTATCTCACCAAATGTACCCCACTGATAAACATCCCCACCCTCCGTTAACGCCACGACGTTCCCCATTCCCATCCCTGGCAACGCTACTTGCCGTATTTTTCCTCTAGTCAGATAACTCGGCACTTGTCTGGGCGTGTACTTATCTTCCCGACAATTAGCGATACGTCCTAAGTGCTCAGCTCGCCTATCAAATGGTACATCGGCTGGGCGGAATTCACTGCACCACGAGTAGAGTAGTCCGTCCTCCGTAATTGCGAGGTTAACTGATCCAATGATAAATTCTATAAAGGCAAAACAACTTTTGCCATCTCAATTTCGCATATCACATTGATTTTGAGCATATTCTTCATAAAAATGAGTACCTTTCACTAGAACGTTGCACAATTCAGGAATTCTGGTAATTTTCGCATCGTCAAGACCTTTATGGATGAAGTGGTAAGTTTCGTCCGTCGTGGTGACGACGAAACCCTCCTTGTCGTGAACATGTATCAATTTCGCTGCCTTCAAAATCTCCTCTCCATCCGCTCCCACGTTGCGAAAGACGGTCCAAGGCTTTAACTTGTCTTCAGGAATGACACCATGCGATGACGTGGACGCCTCCATTACCAAAACGGTTGTAACTATTAAGTAACAAATTAAATGGAGAAGTTTATAAGGTGTAGTACAGTAAAAATTTAATTAATTACAAATTATAATCGCACAAAGAAAGATTATGCACGAAGTGATTTATTGTAGCCAGTCCGCTGCCAAAAATGAGACGAGGAAATTGAGACGGACGACGGAAATTGCAGCTTGTACCCGCTATCTGCTGTTTTTTTTGCTGCTGATTAAAACTTGACATTTTTCTCATCCTTATAATTCAAACCCTTTTTAATCGTGTCATTTCCTTTGATAAGTGACTATCATGGCCTCCTCATCTGGCATCATTCCTCGCGACAAGTTACAGATCTGGGAAATCTTTCGTAACCCTGGGCACGAAGGAGAGGAGATTTTGAAGACATCGAAATTGGCACATGTTGTCGACCAGAAGCACGGTCTCGTCGTCACTATAGCCGATGAAACGTATTCCTTCTTCCGGGACGAGGGAGGGTGCAAAATTACTAGAATTCCGAACCTTTGTGGCGTCCGGGTGAAAGGTACTTGATTTTAGATTGTAATTAATTCCTGGCTAATTAAAACTACAAATTTAATTTTAATTACCTGAAACATTCCTAGAATTTTTCATCGTCAATATTGGAGTTGGCCTTGCCATAGCGGAGGATGGATCCTTATATTCTTGGATTAACGATTTCTTCCTACTCCAGCATTTGGATACGTCCCAAATTTCGTTTGATATTGACCCGCACGTCGTGGGGGGAAGTTTGATAGGAAGAAAGGTTCAACAAGTCGCCTTGGCAGGGGAACGTGTCATGGCGTTAACCGTGGGTGGAGATGTGCATCACTGGGTTCGAATTAGGGACATGTCTTTCGAGCCAATTTTGATTGCCAAGAAGAACTTTGATTACCAGGAGGTCATCTCGATTGCTTGTAGTGACGATATTTCTATCGCTCTTACATCAAATGGAGAGGTCACAAATTACATAATTTGCGATTTTTTAACGGGACTAATTTGTGGAATTTGTATTATTGCAGGTATTTCAATGGGAACTGGGTAACATGTTGCCGCAAAAGGTGATCGTGGCACCTTTAAGAAAGGTAAGTTCAATAAATATTACAATATTGGGAGGAAATTCACGCATTTTTACAAGTCTTGATCTGTAATTTTACAAAAATTAAAATTCCCAAGAAAGCTTACGCGGAGCATAAACTATAAACAATGTATTTCGTGATATTGCGTAAAAACATGCCGATTCTACAATGTCATTGAATTTGCGAAAGTAATTCATGACTGTTTTGCAGATAATTGGAATCAGCCACATTATTTTTGCACTGACTGTTGAAGGAGCCCTGTACTCGGCGAGATTTTATGATCCAATCTCAAGAGAAACGAAGCCTGTATGGACGCTTGTCTTCGAGAATTTAAAATCCCACGATATTACAACCTCAGTATCGGACGACGTTGTTGTTGTCGAGTTGAAGAACAACATCCGGTTAGCATTTTCCTACCGTGGTGGAACTTGTGATCCCCATATTCTCTCAATTTCGCCAAATGTTACCTCGCTGGACGATCTCTTTGCTGAAATTAGTCAAACAACCTGCCGTACTATTTGGGCGAAAAGCGATGTGAAACCGGGGACAGTGGAAGTTGACATTGCCAACTTGTGGGGAAGCAAGGTTGACATGAATTTACAAAATTTTGCTGAAATTATTCTATGATTAAAAAAACTTGCATTCTATTTACAGGAAAATTCGGACGTTACATTTTCCGTGGAAGGGAAAACTATCTCGGCGCATAAATTGGTCCTGACAGCGCGAAGTGAATATTTCGCCAAAATGTTTAGCAACGAGTGGAAGGAGATGAAAGGATCGTGAGTACTTTGTCGAAATAGTTATTTTTTAACCGGTATTTTTATGAATTTACATTTTGTAGCTCTATTGAGATCAAGGACACGAGGTACGAAATTTTTGAAGCGCTTCTCTTCTACATTTACTGCGACAAGGTTACCTTCTCGAAGGACGAGTATGAAAACATTTTTGGTGAGGCGAATTTGAAACCGTGAATTTTTGGCGTGAATTCCACCTAAATTATGGAGCGCATGTGCATTTGTGCCGCAAATTATATTATTTTTCTGGTTGTCTGTTTATATTTTTACTAGGCCTCATGATGCTGGCGGACGCCCATTGTGCCATCAAAATTCGTCACGAATGTGAACAGATTCTGATGCGGAACATCACCACAGAAAATGCTGTGTTCCTCATTCGAAACGCTGCCTCGGCCAACGCTTCGGTTTGTTATTATTTATAGCTAATTATCATTGGCTAATGGGTAATTAAATAAGCTTGTATCATTATCATTTCAGGATTTGGAGATGAACGTCGTTCGATTTATTTTGGATAATCGACTCCTCGATGTAAATTTGTCGCCTCAGGCGGCGATTGACCTTTTGGGAATTGAAGGATTCAATAAAGTTTGGATGGCCGCACTTCGTCGATTGTAGATAAATTTGTGGAATTTTAAATACATAGCTTTTTCGACTTTTTAAAACTTAATAGATAAATAATTGAATATGAATTATGATACTGACATTTGAAGCATAAACAAAATTAAGCTAAGAAATTAATCAAAATTTTGCATTAAAAATACAAATAAGCAGGCTTGGGCAAGATAGATACTTTAAGATACAAGATACTAGATACAAGATACAAGATACTACTCGTATCTTGTATCTTCCACCCGCCTCAGCTCAAAGTATCTTGTATCTTGTATCTGGAAAATCCTCAATGAGTATCTTGTATTTGTATCTTGTATCTGATGTTTTCCATCAAGAGGAAAGTATCTAAGACACTTTTTAAGATACAAGATATTTTTTGCAAAATATGCTACCCGCGACATCAAAAGTTCGATTTTCTTATGATTTATGAGGTAGTAATTGTAATTTGTAAGAAAATATGCGTGGTATTTTTGCTAGTGGAAGGTGTTTTTAAATGCCTAACTACTCAATAGTAAGACTTTCATTTTACTGGCGATGCCTAAATGGCAAAAAATATGAAATTTTATCTTTTTTAAATCTTAAAAAAATCAAAGGTATCTTGTATCTTGTGGAATATTTAAGATACTTTATCTTATCTTGTATCTTGTATCTTTAAAAATACTTAAAAGTATCTTTTACTTAGTATCTAAGTATCTTGGAAAGAACAGAGAATAAAGTATCTTTATCTTGTATCTTGTATCTGAAAATAAAGTATCTTGCCCAAGCCTGCAAATAAGTTGATAAATTTTAAATTGCATGTATTTATTACCCGAGTTAATTTATTCTGAGAAAACGGCCACTATTTAAATTGATAGAAATTAAAATGATTTCTGAGCTCTGAGGAGAAAAGTTAAATTCCAAGAAGCGTTGAAATTTCAGGCATTTATTTTTTGATATAACACTTGTGCAAGAATATTAGCTCATTAAATTGAGGATAAAGCTTGACACAAATTTCGAAAAATCATTTGTACACATAAATTAGAAATCTCGGGCAGGAAAAAACCTGGCAAATCAAAATAGTCACACCGTTTTAAAATTAAGTCTGCCTCCTTGAAAAACATCTAGAAGGTTTAAACCTTCTAGACATTTGGTGACGCCAAATCAATCAGTTCAAGTGACCATGCAACTTTGTCTCCACACTTTCCCGCACTCCCATACGAAAACAACTCCAGCTAAAGAAACCAACCCGCCACTCAGGAAAAGTATAAACTTAATTACTTTAAGTGACACTCGCGCCGATTCGTGAAACACAACTGGTTCTGTTCCATCCGCCATTTCTTTTCGGAAAAAACGTCCATACTCTGACTTTCCTATTAGCCTCATGGCATTCAACTTATACTGCACACGCCTCAGCCCATCCCACCTCCCACTTATTCCGAACTCCTCCAAATTAGTGATCGTCTTGGAAATGAATGGCGTGAGAAAATTCCTGTACCCGACGGACATCGAGATTGTACGAAACGGCGTGGCTTCCCGACTATTTAAAACGTATCGATTTTCAAATTCCTCAAGAAGTACGGCCAAATCTGATATCACCATTTTCACATCCATTAGAACGATTGGTTCTTGCCTAAATCCAGAGTACTCTTGAATCGAGTAGGACAAACTTTTTGCAAGCGTTAACGAGTCGATTTCGCTAACTTGATAAAATTTAGTTCTGTTCTGAAGTCGTTCGTACTTGGAAATCGATTTGATCCTGGATAAACCTTTTTTGAAGGTTGTGATCTCCTCAATTACCAAAGACGACGCAACCATTTTCTCCTGTTCTTTGTCCCACCTTGTTATGGACGAACGTGTCACAACTTTATAGTCCGACTCAAGCAATACCGAACCATACCGGCAGCAGGAACCATGCAATCCGCTTCGATTTAAATAATTTCAACGTGTTCCCCTCAACTTGACCTAACAGGATGGATGAAATTCGTAGAACATCAGAAAACATGGAAGAATTTTGATGTCCCACCTTCCTCAAACCTAGTCGTCCCACGATCGTAATTCCAATCGCGCTCAGGAAAATCAAGGTCCACGTGGGTGCATCAAATGGGTATAAAAATACGGCGAAATCGTTCCTCAGCGTCGGATGGTCGGTCACAATGACGAATTCAATTTCTGAAAATGTTACTTTGTATACTAGCGCTCTCTCATTTGCAAGTCGGGTAATAAAACCGTTGTTCAAATATTGTCTGAAACTTAATCTCCCGACGAAATTATCCATATTGAATTTTCCCATCGTGGGAATCACTGTGAAATTATAGCGTTGAGTAAGCACAGAGATGACACATCTATGGGGAGGGTTACTTTCATAATAGTTGATTATATTGTGACCACATTTTGCTTCAACGGGTGACCATGACGTAACTGATATAACCAAAGTGACACTTTTTCCTTGCATATCGTTATTCCTGGATTTCCAAATCTGGTCTATTTTTAATCCGTTTAATCCCTGAATCTGCTCGTTTGGAGGAAGATCTCGACAAACAATGCACGGAATAAATAACAAAGTGTCAGTTATAATTATTAGAATAGAGTTTCCATTTGAGTTGGGGTAGTAACGGTAGTAATTTCTCGATATGGGGGAACGAACGATTAGAAATATATAGGTTGGATTATCATAAAGCAACACGTTTGCCATAAATAGTGTTTGGGATTGTTTGTAATCCGTGAAGGTCATATTTGTTGAAATTACGTGTAAAACGGTATACCGAGCTTGTGAAAATAAGGCACGATTGTTTCTTTCGAGGAAAGATATTGTTGTTTCATCAATTAACTCAGGATCGTAGAGCAACCGATGAACTAGTACTGGCGAACGATTATTCTGTCGGATCATTTTGGCCAAATAGCTTTGTATTTGTTCAAAATCAGCTTTCGAAGCTATGTCGCTTGCAAATATAAACTGCAACGTTCCCGGATTTGGAACATCCAGAAAGTGTTCGACGATCGAAATTAATGAAACCGTAGGAGTGATGAAACACAAAAATAAGTTCGAAATGTAGTTCATGTTAAACCTTTCTACTCAAGTTTTAATTGTTACTAGACAAACAGATGCGAATTTTTGCTTATGGGTCTCGTCGATGAGGTGGCGTTATGCCCGTGAGCTCTAATATTTAATGTTTGAACGTCAATTTACAGACACATTTTACCATATTACGTAGATTCATAGACAGACATTATGCAACACAGTTTATTTATACGCTACAATTTTCAACGTATGTACATATGTATGTACTTCTGTATGTGCGTCATGGATAGAGTTTGTTTCCTTAAATTCCCGTTGGTCACATATGTGATATATGTACACAGACATAGATACTCCAAATTTGCAAATTTATATGCTAGATTTAGATTGAGGAAGGCAAGTGCAAAGCAATTTGTGATGGAATAATTTATGTATTTCAGTTCTTTCTGTACGTAATTGTTGCTTGTTTTTCTTAGGTGAGGCATAGTAACCATGACCACATGAAAAAGTGCATGGTTACGGCGAAGCCTTAGTATGCGAACAGACCCCCCTCCAAATATTCCGCTCAAGTTTGTGGCAAAACAGCTAATCGTATCAAAATGGTGTAAAAGGCAATCGTGCAGACCTTGCTGGGTAGATGATGCCCGTCAGGTCTAGAGACATGACAATCTTATTTTAACCCATTAAAAATCGATTTTAAACTTTCAAATGACTGGCAAATTCACTTTTGCCAAGCAATGGTAGTGTCGACCCCGATATTAAATGTGCGGAAATCTATAACGCGTCATTTGAAACAAATCCGAGCGAAATCGGATAAGAAATGAGAGACTTTTCTTGGTTGCATATGCAGCCAGTTACGTTAATTATAATGGTTCGTCATTACTTATCAAAATTCACGTTTCTATTAGCAACCAGCATAAAAGAAACATGTAAAAGCCCTTCACTGTAAATATCTACGCATGGAAATACTATATGTATGTATGTACTATGTACATGTACAAGTATGCACTTTTAGAAATCCAGACCGAGTTTGGCAAAACCACGATAATTATGTAGCCTTAGATAAATAATTAAGCACGTGTTTCTGGATTTTTAATGCTCACTTTAAACTAAGTTATGATGGAATCCGTATGCGAGAATTTGTATTTTTCTCCTTTGTGAGAAAAATTTCACGGTGAAAATGTAAATTCTCGCTCACGTTTTCCATCAAACTTCGTTTGTATGAAAAATCCTTAAACACGTGTTTAATTATTTATATATGTATAGCTACATAATTATCGTGGTTTAGTCTAAATCGGAGCGAGACCGATGATGATCATCGGTCTCGCTCCGATTTGATGACATGATATGACACGATATGATGACATCGCATTGACGGCATTGCATTCCTTCGTTACCCGTAGACACGGGTAACGGGGGAATTTAATTTCGTGTGCCACGCATCCACACCCACTGGGGGATTAATTTCATAGGCAACGCATCTGGGCTTATGGAGATTTAATTTGGTATCTATAATTGATGACATCTTAAAGAGACTTAAAAACAAAAAATAAACCAATTCTTTAAAAAAAACTTAGGTGAGGCTTGCTTAAAAGGAGAAAACAAGCGGTTATCATCGTGTATTAGAATAATGTGCTAAATCAATTTTCATCTCATGATTTATAATTTTCGGTAAACAGAACAGCAAAGTATGTGTTTGGGACCATTTGCCTCGCCGTGGGCCGTTTTGTGAATTAGAATAATTTTAAAATTTATTAGTGTTCAGAGAATTTGCTACACACATGCGGCAAATACGTCGAATACATAATTTGTTGGTTAATTTTGTTATCCATAATCGATTTCTGATCATATTTACCAAGCGTGGGTTAATTTCCAATATTACATACAATAGTAGAACATGAATTTTTAAAATCTTTACCTATTCTAGAAATATATTCAAAGACTGCAAAATCACAAATTAACAAAGCTTAAATATAGACAATTTGAATATTTATGTAAGATGACATATTTGTATTGAATTAATTGCCCACGGCGAGGCAAATGGTCCCAAACGCATATACTTTGCTGTTCTGTTTACCGAAAATTATAAATCATGAGGTGAAAATTGATTTAGCACATTATTCTAATACACGATGATAACCGCTTGTTTTCTCCTTTTAAGCAAGCCTCACCTAAGTTTTTTTAAAGAATTGGTTTATTCGAATATAGACACCAACTTTCTTTCAAACCTTGGTAATAAGTAGTCTTTATTACATGCGAGTTTCTTATTTCTAGTACAAGCACACTCATGAGTTCCTTGTAGTTAGTTAAGTCCACAGTTGCACTCATATGCAGGTACAAAACCGAAGTAAGTTTATTTGCTTTCCAGGTAATAATATTCCAGGTAACGTTTCGCATAAATATGGACCTGCATGCAAAGACATAGATGCAGAATGAATTTTTGAGATATTTACAGGCTGTAAATTACAGCTAAAAATTTTAGCTATGGAGTTGAGGAGGTAGGCAAAAGGGATCGAGCTTCTACTCAATAAAATTTATTTACCTCAACTGCACATGGAGAATTAAAGAGTTTTATCTAAATTTAATATATAT